AAAAAAAAAAATAAATAAAAAAATAACACTTTAAGATCTCCTTCCTCCAGAGGGAGCTCCTGAGGCCAGGGTCCAAGCCTGGGGTGTTTTGCCTCAAGATGTCCAGTCCTATGAGGATCCGTACTGGGACTGGACTGGTTTTTACTTGCTAATGGAAAGACAAAAAAGAAAATAGGGAAGACCAAAGGGCAAGGAAAGAGTAAACAGGACAGTCCTCTAAAGATTGGACCTGGGAGTCCTCCAAACTGGAGCATAGCTAGAAGGTCTCACAGATGAGATTTAGGGTATTGATGTGTAAGGCAAGAATCTACTGGAAGGTTTCAGCAGTGAAAATGCCATTATGATGCTGGGCGTGGTGGCACACACCTGTAATCCAGTGGCTCAGGAGGCTGAGGCAGGAGAATCATGAGTTCAAAGCCAGCCTCAGCAACTTAGCAAGGGCCCAGCAACTAAGCAAGAGCCTGTTTCTAAATATAAATATAATAAAGGGCTGGGGATGTGGCTCAGTGGTTAAGCACCCCTAGGTTTAATCTTCAGTGGCAAAAAAAAGAAAGAAAGAAAGAAAGAAAAGAAGACGCCATTATGCTAATGCTGGGGGAGCTTTGTTTCAGTGAAACTAGACTTTTTTTGTAAAGAAAATTCTTCAATAAGTAATGCCTCTTCCGCTCTTCCTTTAAGCAAATTTGTGCTAAATAACATTTTGTGGGCTGGGGTTGTAGCTCAGTGGTAGAGCACTTGCCTAGCATGTGTGAGGCACCAGGTTTGATCCTCAGCACTGCACATAAAAATAAATAAAAATAAAGTCATTGTGTCCATCTACAACTAAGAAAAATTTTTAAAAAATAACATTTTGTTGCAAGAATCTTGGGATATTTCACATTTATGTTATATACATTATAGGCAGTCATAATCTATTTCACAGAGGCTGTTTCCCAGTAAAGCATGCTAAATCCTGTAGACACTTACTAACCAGACCACATAAAAGCTCTTGAGATACATTATCTGTCACCAGAATATTCAGACAACCGTAGTGCTTTGTCTTCCCATTACTCATTCCCAGTACAGCCATTCCCTTGGGGTCTGTGGACACACTGAGTCCTTCTCATCACCGCCTTCACTCTTCACCAGAATGCTCTCACTCCAGGCTCACTCAGGAATGACTTGGTATTATTTGAAATTATTCTGTTTGGGGCTGGTGGATGTAGTTCAGTGGTAGCACTTGCTTATCATGACTGAGACCCTGGGTTCTAGCCCCAGCAAAAACACACACACACACACAATTCTGTTTTATGGACTGTAGCTGAACCAAACCACAATGCTGACTGGAACAGAGACTGGATGATGGAGTACTTCAGGTCAGAGATGCTAGAATCAAAATGCCTGCATGTGAATCCAGGTCACACCACTTACTAGTCAAGAACCCTCAGGCAAATTACTTAAACCCTCTGTGTCTCAGATTCTTCATCTGTATGTGAGGAGGAAGATACCAACAGTGGCTTACAATAACTTTATTTAGTACTTACTGGGTTATTGTGAGGAGTAAATGAGTTATAAAACATGAAATAGAAGAATACATGGCTCATAGTACTGCAGAGCCCTTCCTGCTTGTTAGTTATCTCACACAGAGCCCAGCACCTTGCCAAGTAAATGATTTTATCAATAAATATATGTTCAATACTAGAACTTTTTCTTAAATACCTAATAATAGTATAATGTCCACCAATTAGAAAATGTATATAACATACACATACAAGCTGGGCACAGTGGCACATGTCTGTAATGCCAGCAACTCTGGAGGCTGAGGCAGGAGGATCAAGTTCAAAGCCAGCCTTAGTGAAGTACTTAGCAACTCAGAGGAACCCTGTCTTTATAATATTAAAAAGGGCTGGGGATGTGGCTCAGTGGTTAAGGACCCTTGGGTTCAATCCTCAGTACCAAAAAAAAAAAAAAAAAGATACACATACAAACAAAACCCCAGCAATTCCACTGCCCAGAGATAATACTATTACCATTTTTACATATTCCATTAATTAATGAAACAATATTTACTGAGCACCATACTTTAAAAGCGTCATGCCTTTGCAGGAGAAATAATGGTAAGCAAAAATAGAAACAGTTTTTGTCTCATGGAGTTTACAGTCTAGTGATATGAGACAAACCTTAATCAAGTATCACATGATACAATAAATGTGAAACTGCAAATATGATAAATGCTATAAAGAGAGGTAAGGAGGTGTGGTGGCATATGCTTATAATCCCAGCTATTTGGGAGGCTGAGGGAGGAGGATCTCAGATTCAAGGCCAATGTGGGCAACTTATTGAGACCCTATCTCAAAATAAAAAGGGCTGGGTATGTAGCTTGGGAGTCGAGTGCTTGCCTAGCATGCCCAAGGCTCTGGGTTCAATCCCTGAAGTAGCAAAAGAAGAAAGGAGAAGAAGAGGTGTACATGTGAGCTGACCTGGTTGAGAAGGTCTGTTATCTGCAGGCTGTGAGAAAGTAACTACTGAGGTGGGAACTCAGTCATAAGAATTAATTTAGAGAACACAGAAAGGAAGTGTGTGCCCAACGTACACTGTAAATCCAAAGGCCAGGCAGGGAGAGGCAGCACGCAAGTAGAAGGAAGGAAGAGGTCTCAGCGTGCAGCAGCTGTGTGCTAGATAGAGCAGAAGAGAGCAGATCTAGCAGACTTAATATCCCACTTTAAAAATTATCCATTTAGTTAACAAATATTTATTGTTTATGAAGAGCTATGAACATTTTCACAAATCAAATTTATATTATATATTGCTGTATATATTGCTTTTACTATGAACAATTTCTGACAACACACAGCAACTTAAACAATCTCTCAATATCCACTATTAATAAGAATGCTGTGATGACCTTTTTTTTTTTCTTTTTTTTGGTGGTGCTGATGGAACTCAGGGCTAAGCAAGTGCTCTACCACTGAGTCCCATCCCCAGCCCCATAATGAACATTTTTGTATCAAATATTTCTTGGCATAACTTCCAAGGGAATTGCTATTTGAGCAAATTTGTTAATTTTTTTTTTGTTGTTGTTGTTACTGACGACTTAAGCTAGAGGCACTTTACCACTAAGCCACATCCTAAGCCCTTTTTAAAATTTTGAGACAGGTTCTAAGTTGCCTAGGGCCTCACTAAATGCTGAAGCTAGCCTTGAACTTGAGATCCTTCCAAGCTGCTGGGATTATAGCGCCTGGCAAATTTATAAATATTTTAATCATAATCATGTCAGGAAAAGTGACATGCTTCACTGTCAATTTTTTTTTTGGTACCAGGGATTGAATCCGGAGGCTCTTAACCACTGATCCACATCCCCAGCCCTTATTTATTTGTTTATTTTTTGAAATAGGGTCTCACTAAGTTGATTAGAGCTTCACTAAGTTGCTGAGTCTGGCTTTGAACTTGCAATCCTCCTGCCTCAGCCTCCTGAGCCACTGGGAGTACAGGTGAGTGCCACTGTGCCTGACTTCACTGTTAAAATCTTATGCTATGTGACACTATGCTCTTTTGAGACTGGTGCCACTGTTTCGTTTGGGGGCATTCATAGTGACTTCCAAAACTTTCTTCTTCATTTTCTGCAGGGTAAGAGAAAGTCATTTCTTTTTCTGATTTCCAGGGGTCCTTCCAATGACTTCAGATCATGCCACAGTGACTGCTGATGAAATGTCTTTAATGATATAGCTCAAGAAGACAGTCTTCCTCATCTGCTACATGGGAGAGGGAAGGTTTTCTTATCTGTAAAGGATCTTCCTAAAGATTGGAGCCACACTGGAATATAGTTTCTGACATTCCTTTTCTCTCCTCTGGCCTCCTACTTTGTCCAATTCCAATTTCATGCACTAAATTTACTAACCTATTGAAAGGCAGATGGAAGTTCAGGCAATCACATCATAGACTCAATTTTCATTTACTGAGTTTGCTGACCGATGTCATCTTCTCAAAAGCCTGTGCATTTTCCATCTCCCTCTTTCAACAAATACATGCGTTATTAGATTACCTTCAAAGGACTCATTTACTATGAAGTCCTCATTCTAGGATTTTAATGATTAACACAAACTCTGATACACTGTTCAAACCCTTCTTCGGTTCCTGTTTGCATTCCACTTCTCTACTGCAAAATAAAGCCTGTTTTTAAGATCAGTGGGATGCCCTGTAATGCAGCCAAAGCTTCTAAGGATAGTCCTCAGAATGAACCTGATGTCTAAGCAAAGGTTGATTTAGCCAGGTGCGGTGGGCCCGCCTGTAATCCCAGCGGCATGGAAGGCAGAGGCAGGAGAATCGTGAGTTCAAAGCCAGCCTCAGCAACTGCGAGGCGCTAAGCAACTCAGTGAGACCCTGTCTCTAAATGAAATACAAAATAGGGCTGGGGATGTGGCTTAGTGGTCGAATGCCCCTGAGTTCAATCCCCAGTACTCCCTCCCCACTCCACTCCCCCCCCCCCAAAAAAAAAGTAAAGGTAGGCTTGCCTTGTACCAGGCACAGCGCTAACTGAATGAAATAGGTTTTCCCTTTTGTTTTTTTTTAGATTTTCTCCTGTAATGTGCACTAAAACTCTATGAGATCGTATCATTACTGTCCCTGTTTAACAGATGGGAAACCGAGGTTTAGGGAGGTTGTTATTCATGTATAACTACTCCGATCCTTCATGGGCAACGGCCCCTACTTCTGTTTGTAAGCTGAGAAAATAAAGAAAAAGGGGGCAGACCAAGTAGGAATATACTAAACACGTAAAAGTCATAAAGGAAACAACCAGCGGGCAGAAACGACCCCTTCGGCCTCCTTTCCGCCAGAGTTGAGTCTCCAGCGTGGCCAGGACGCCTCCCAGCGGCCATCTCTATGCCTCGACGCTTCCGGTTTCGGGCGGGCGTCACTAGCGAGAGTCCCAGACGGCCCGGGCCGCGGGCCTGCGTGTGGCGTGTGTCGCAGGCGAGGAGGCGGGTCTTCCGGCCTCACTAAACCATTTCCGGCGGGAACCGGAAGACCGTCCCAGATGGCCTCGGGGCGGCCTGTGCGTGGAGCTGATCTCTGGGGCTGCTAGCCTTCCGGCGCTCTCTGGTCGCCTTATGCTGCGGGCTGCGGCCGCCTGCCTCCGCTGGGATTGGCGGCGCTGAAGCGCCGGGGCAGCGTGCGACATGTCTTCGGGCCTCCGCGCTGTCGACTTCCCCCGCTGGAAGCGCCACATTGCGGAGGAGCTGAGGCGCCGGGACCGGCTGCAGAGGCAGTCGTTCGAGGAGATCATCCTGCAATGTGAGCAGTGCTGGCGCAGGCCGGGAGAGGGGCGGGCCGGCGAATCCGCCCGGGGCCCGCGAGAACCCAAGGCCGAGCCCCAGGCCGCCCGCGCGCATGGCTGCCACCCGGGTGCCTCGCGCCTCGGACGCTGCCAGTCTCCCTGAAGCCTTTTTCTTCCTTCGTTTCACCCTTGGGGGTCGTTGTGGAGGGTCCCCTACCGAGTCTTGTGTGCACTGTGGGCAGGTGCCTTGAGTCTGCACGCCGTCCTGGCGCACTTCGGCAGGTGGGCTCCAGAAGCATCGCTTCGGGCCATCTCGCTGATGAGGCAGGCATTGGTTGACATCAGGCGCCAACGTGAGGGGTCAGCATCGATGCCTAGTGTCCTAGAGCGTGTGGCCATTGGCTTCCGAGGGTCCTTTGCCCTTATTCCAACTCGGTGTTCTTTCCTTAGTGGGGAGGAAGGTACCCTCTGCTGTTGATGCAAAACCACCAGCGGGAAAGTGGATTTCTTCACCACCACCTCTTGCCTTTTAAGGGTACAGAAGTGTTTCTCACTCTCAGATACGTCCTAAGGAATAGATCCTTGCCCACCTCCCCAAGTTACAACTTACTTGACACATTTGGGGGAAGCATCCGCCACTCCTCTTGCCTGAGGATTGATGAGAGGATTCAAAGTACAAATAGTTGCCTGTTATTGAATTCTGATTGTGTTAAGTCAATGGTGTTCAAATGCAGCTGCATTAGAATCACCTGGGGATTTTTAAAAAGCATCCCCACTTGATAGATGCAGCAAATCGGAGGGGCTGGGGCTGTAGCTCCATGGCAGAGCGCGTCCTGAGGCACTGGGTTCGATCCCTAGCACCTCATAAAAATAAACAAACAAAGGCATGCTGCCCATCTACAATTAAAAAAATAAAAAAAAAATAGTTCAGAGCCCAAGCCACACCCCAGATCAACTAAACCAGAGTAAATGGAAGTAGAAAGAACACAGGTGTATCTGGAGGTTTTTTGGTGGTATTGAGGACTGAACTCAGTGCTTCACCTATGCTAGGCAAGTGCCCTATTGCTATGCTAGAATATGTATTTTGAGATTGGGTCTTACTAAGTTGCCCAGGCTGTGTCCTTGAATTTGCAATTCTCCTGCCTTAGCCTCACCAGTCGCTGGGATTACAGGCCGCTACACCCAGCTAGTATTGGCATTTTAGGATGCTTCCCAAATTATTCTGGTATGCAGACAAGTTTGAGTACTGTGGTGAATAATTGGCATCTTCGAAATTCAGTGGAGCAAGTTTTACTGTTGCCATTTTTTACATCTGAGAAAATTAAGGCCAATAGTAAAACAATTATTTGGGGTTGCATAGCAGATTAATGGTGGGGATGGGTTCACATTTAGGCTCATGATCCTTATCTTTTGCATTTGTTTTTCTTGCTGGAACTCCCAAGAAATGACCCTTTATTGCCTTCACTGCCTCTGTCCTCTTTAAAAAGGGGAGCCCTTTAGGAAAAGGGAATGCTGTGCAACTGTCATGGTCAATTTGTTATACTCTTAGAGAACCTGGGAGACCAGAACTATTTCAGAAGCATAGGAAGAAGCTCCTCTTACTCAGTGTGATTCTCTCATAGGTTATGTAACTTCAGTTCTTAGGTCTTGGCTGAGTGCTCATCCTTTAAAAGGTAATACATTTAGTTGGGTCAGAGTCCCCACTTGTCCCTTTACTTTTTCATTTAACTTTTTTGAATCTGAGTTGCTGTATCTATAAAGTGGGGATGAAGCTTGCTCTGCTGCTTCATAAAAGCAGTGCTGTGTTTAAGTGCTTTGAAAGCCATCTGTATAATAATTTATAAATGTAAGGTGCTCATAACCCCATAGACATCAATTGAATGTTTTTCTGCACTTCAAAAATGGATATGGTGGGCTGGAGTTTTGGCTCAGTTGTGGAGCGCTTGCCTAGCATGCATGAGGCACCGAGTTCAAGTCTTAGCACCTCATATTAAATAAATAAAAGGTCCATCAACAACTTAAAAAAGAAGAATTAAAAAAATTTTTTTAAAATTCATGACAAGTCGGGGGGATGTAGAGCAGTCAGAACAAGAGATTGGAGATGGAAAGAGTGCTTTTTTTTTTTTTTTGGCACTGGGGATTGAATTCAGGGGCACTCAACCCTGAGCCACATCCCAGCCCTATTTTGTATTTTGTCTTTTTAATATTTAGTTTTTAGTTTTAGGTGGACACGATATCTTTATTTTTTATTTTTATGTGGTGTTGAGAATCGAACCCAGAGCCCCGCACATGCCAGGCGAGCGCGCTACTTCTTGAGCCACATCCCCAGCCCTATTTTGTATTTTCTTAAGAGACAGGGTCTCACTGAGTTGCTTAGCACCTCGCTTTTGCTGAGGCTGGCTTTGAACTCGCTATCCTCCTGAGAGCATCCTGAGCAGCTGGGATTACAGGTGTGCGCCACTAAACTAATGGGTAGTGCCTGCTTGCGGGGCTTAGAGAAGAGATGGGGATGAGAAACTAGGAGGAGGCAGGAGAGTGAGACACCTTGACTATTCAGACATTCTGTTTAAGTTGGAGGGTTGACATTTGGGGAGAACAGTTCCAGATGGATTGTACAAAACCAGTATTCCTCAAATCCCAGCCTTCCCAAGCCAGTTAAGTTTTCACCTTCCATCAGCCTGGAATTCCCTGTTTAATCCTTGCCAGAACTTGAAGAGAAAGATGAAGAAGCTCTGGGGGGAGGCTTCCCTGATTTCTGGCCTTGTTTGTAGTAAAGGGAACCTTTGGAAGGAAGTCCTTTTGAATACCTTGTGTCTTGGTGATCTCCAAGGGTGGAATTGCTTTCCTTCCTGTTCAGCTGCACTGATCTGTTCAACCAGCATAAGGGAAGAAAGTGTCTTGTTTCTGCCCAGGAGTTCTATTTTCAGATATCAAGGAGAAACTAGAGTCAAGATAGAGAAGCTCTTTTAACAGGAAGGGTTGCTAATATAAGTCTTGTCAAAATTTTGTTTTGGAGCAGTTTTTATCTCAAGACTTACAGGGTTTGTAATCACCTCCTTCAAATGTAGCTGTTCTGTAAGGTTTTCATGGTCAGTTTCTTGTTCTGCTTCATGCTCACCAGATGGTACCCCAGAGGGTAGCACTTCGACATGCTGAACTGAAGAAACAGTTTCAGAATCCAGGTCTCCCTAATCTTCCCTGGTTTCTCCCCCAAGCACAGGGAGGGGCTCTCATCAAACTGAGAAAACTTTCCAAAAGAAATTGGATTGTTTTAAACTCCCTCCCTAGCAATTTCATCAAAATAACTAGGAAAGATTAACCACACCCAGACAGGCTTTTATCTACAGATTACCTGGGAGACATCAGTAAAATAAGACACTCTTGCCTTTCTCCATTTCCCTCTCCCCTGTGAGGAAGGGTATTAAGCTTCTACCATATGCTCCTTCTATTATAACAGGGGTTATTTGTTATGACCCTCCAATGAGGGTAGTGCCCCCCTCATTCTGTTAGTGTAACCACCTGCTTTTACAAACTCTCATTATTGTCAGTAAGAAAAATCTATAAATTTCTCGTCTTACTCTTTCATATGTTGGCTCCAACCTTTATTTTCAGCTACTTATCAGAAAATTATGCTGTTCCTTCTTCCTGAACCATCTTCTTCCTTTGAGACCTAACTCATGCTCATGTCACCACCTGTGAAACCATCCATGAAAACAAGTCATTATTCTCTGGACCTTTTTATAATTTACCACATTAGATCTGGACTCCTTCCTGTTAAGGACTCTCATTTGTGTTTGTATTCATAGTGCATAGTGTCCTGATCTAAACGGTAGTCATATTTGCCAAATTCAAGTGCTTCTGTATTACTTAAAGGTGCATAGCGTTTTGTTTTGTTTTTGTACCTGGGATTGAACCCAGGAGCACTTAAACCACTGAGCCACATCCTCAGTCCTTTTTTATTTTTTATTTTGTTTGAGTCAGTGCCTCGTTAAGTTGCTGACGCTGGCTTTGAACTCACAATCCTCTCAAGTTGCTGGGGTCACAGGTGTGCATCACTAAGCCCAGCTGGTACATAGCATTTCACTTTGCCTTTGGTGTTTTAATTCCCAAGGTAAAAACAGTTAATTTTGGAAGTAGAACATTTTGACTCCCTCAGAGGGGTGACATTCCTGCAGGTGTTACTGTAGCTGGGCTGCCCAAGTTAGGTCAAGAAGCATCTAGGAATGTATGTTCCTAGATTTTATACGATTGTTACAGTATGCAATAATGAGGACCTCACACTTTGATACCTAATAATGATGTCAAAGCAGGTCTGTCTTTTTTTTTTTTTTTTGGTCCCAAGTTTTGTAAGATATAAAGTATAAATACAGTATAATAACTTAATTTCTGAACTATTTCTTGTGTATATAGATAACAAGTTGCTGGAAAAGTCGGATCTTCATTCAGTGTTGGCCCAGAAACTACAAGCTGAAAAGCATGATATACCAAACAGGCATGAAATAAGGTATTTTGAAACTAATCTTTATTATTTGTGTCATTGTCTTTAGCATTTGTCTCAGTTCAGTTGTCACTTTTCTAAAAGCAAACCAAGTCCTGTTTTCTTCTATGCTCCACTCCAGTTTTTGTCATCTCCTTTCAAATAAGAACTGCTAAAACCAAATAACTAAAAGCATTGTTTAAAAGATCCGTACATACCTAGAAGACTTACCAGAACAATGCTCTCAGCTTGAGAAATTTCTGAAGCAGTTCACGTGGTAACCCTAGGTCAGGTTATCTCCTAACCCAGGAATACTTAGAGACAAGTAAATATTCCTGAATAGATTTACAGAACTTTTGTTAAAACAGAATTGACTGGCAAATAAGCACAAATTGCCTTTTATACAGTAAGGTCTGTTTGATTCTTGTTTAATGTTTTCAACCTTAGCTTGTGAAATCAAATTAGCAGGTTGCAACAAGCTTTTGTTTCTTCATTGTATTTTAAGAGAAAGTGTTTGCCCTGCTGTGTTACTTACACATGTTTATATAGGGTGTTTGAAATATTTACTCATGTATGTATTACTGTATGTATGCATTACTTAGGGTCATGTTCATAAAATCAAAGTCATGCTTCATCAAAGCAGCTTAAATGGGCTTATTCTAGAGTCTAACTGGCCTCTTTCCATGATGTTTGCACATTTGTTGGTCTGGAAACAGTGCCCATTATATTTATCTATTGCTTTATTCTTTTTGCACATCGATTTAACACTTGGCAATTGTGAAAACAAAGCTAGAAATTTAAGGGTTTGTTGTTGTTGCTTTAAGTGGTGGGTATGGCCTCATTGGGAATCTTCTGAGTAGTTGCCTGCCATCTGTGTCTCCTAATCTGGCAAGATGGTCTCCTGGGAGGCGAGAGTGGGAAAGATCCCAAAGCACAGATAGTTTCCCCCATCTGGGTTCCGTTTTTTGCTTAATAACAGTTCAGGAGATCCTGTTACTTTCGCTCCTGGGGTTTCTTTCATAGTACTTAAGATGTTAGTTACGATGTAAATAAATATCTGACAATTCTTTTGGCTAAATTTCACTGGGATAGTCAATTTATTGAAAGTCTTTTCCCACAAACATTATCTGTAATTTGTCTTATTCTCCTGATTATCTTGTTCCTATTAATGTGTCCTTGTTTCCCATGAGTCATCTATGGTTCCTTTCTCCCTCAATATCTTTCCCCTCCATGTATCCACTTAGTGCCCCAGGTTCTTTGCCCCACAGTCTCTCAATCTGTCCCTTAGTTTACATTTATTTTGCCATTATCCCCTTTCTCTCATACCTGGACTTTGAAGAGTCTGCTCACTTCAGGCTTTTGTGACTGCAGTATGAACTGGGCACAAAGGGGTGTTTGCTAGGGGTGTGTTAAAGATATTCAGAGAAGATAAGTGCCTGGTTGATTTCCTTCCCTATGCCTCCTCTATCTCTCCTTGGGTCCTGCTCATTTCATTGTAATTAACCAGGAATTTCTATACCTGTACATCAGTTATTAGATTTTCCTTGTGTTTTCATCACTTTGCCTAGAGGCAAAATTCTGACTCTTCAGCCTGAGAGTAGTTTTCTAAGTATGGTTCCCTAATGAGTATCATCATCTGGGAAGTTGTTAAGAAGTAGGGGGGGTTTCCTTTGTTTTTTTTTTTTTTTGGCACTGGGGATTGAACCCAGGGGTGCTTTACCTCTGAGCTACATCCCTAGCCCGTTTTATTTTTTGAGACAGGATCTTGCTAAGTTGCTGAGACTGTGAGACTGTCCTCAAATTTGCGATCTTCTCCTGCCTCAGCCTCCAGAGTTGCTGAGATTACAGGCGGATGCTGCGGTGCCTGGCTAGAAATAGATTCTTTGCCCCACCCACAAGACATACAGAAATTTTAGTGATGGGTCCAGTAATCTCTTTATGTCCCAAGTTTTTAACTCTGAATATTTCAAGAAAACTGACACGGGAGCATTAAAATAGGTTGAAAATCATAATCTAGACTTCACACATAGTATTATATTCATGTCAATGGTGTTATAATTACTTTTTGGGGGGTGTGTGTACTGAGGACTGAACCCAGGGCCTTGTGCATGTGAGGCAAGCACTCTACCAACTGAGCTATATCCCCAGCCCTTACATTGTTATTTTTAAATTATGTGATTACATGTTGCATGTTGTATTTGAGTTTCACAGGTGTTCCACATCTGGGATGATGGGATCAAAATTGGTTTTAAAAAAAAAAAACCCTGTAGGTGATTCTGATAACCTCTAAAGTCTGAGTGACACTGCTTTCCTAGCCACTCTGAGGCCCTGTGAATGAGCAGATTCCCAGCATCTTTGAGCTTTTTTTTTTAAATGAGTAAAATAGGAAGTCTTTGACCAAAAACTTGTTTTTTAAATTTTTTAGTTTTCATTTTACAAATCTTTTTTTCTAGAATGCCAGTTCCTGGGGAGGAGGGGCCACATGTTTTGCTTCACATAGTCCATATTGCTTTGCATTTAAATGAAAGGATTTAGTACAATACCTTCTAATTGGTCTTCCTAATTTTAGATGGTTTCATGTAAGGCACGTTCCAGTGTCTATTCTCATGGTACTTCATGGGCTAATGTAGTAAAGTGCCTGGTCACCTCAAAGGTGAGTCATCTTGCTTAGATATGCAGCAGGTATTCATGTGGAGTTGGAGGGTGAAGTTAGGAGGATTATTATTATACTGCCTCCATCCCTCTTTTTTTTTTAATTTTTACTTTTATTTTTTAGTTGTTAATAGACCTTTATTTTATTTATTTATATGTGGTGATTAGAGTTGAACCCACTGCCTCACACATGCCAGGCAAGTGCACTACCTCTGAGCCCCAACCCCTCCTTCCCTCCTTTTTATTATGTTACAGGTCATATGTAATGGGCTGCTCTCCCCTCTCCCTTCAGAATGGGTATCTTGGCCGGCCTTCTATGAGCTTTCGTTGAGCATTAGATTTACCTGCTTACTCAGTATGGTCTGGTAATGCTCCTCTGTAGTTTCAGCCCAGACCCTCCTCCTGAGCATAATTTCAAAATTCTAGTGTTTTGTTAAACCAAAACTCTTGAGGCTAGGGAATTCCTGAAATAAAAAGACTTCAGTTTTGAGGAGGGTAAAAGCCCTGCACCCTGCATGTATGCACCCCTGAGAGAGCTTTGGGATAGGAAGGTAGCCCATAAGGAGAACTCGTTGCTTTTGGACTGGTTGGGGTTCACAGTCCAGAAATTGTATTTGTAAACAGAGGATGGTGGCCCTGAGGGTTTGCTGTGATGGGATTTTAAGTCAGTTTTTCAAGGCTTCTCCCCAGGAGCTGGTATTCTAGAGAAAAGATTTATAAAATGAAAGCTGCTATAAGAAAGCCAAACTCTTGACCAAGGATTTTCTAGTTTACTTAACAATAAAATAAGGCTTCTGGTGTTTTGTTTGCAGCTAACTGTAGTTAACTGATTAGTTCCCTTATCTCTTTACCCTTTGACCTTTGCAAGGTAGGACATCTTAGAATTTTTCTTTGATCAGAGTGTACTGCTATTTTTGATATAATACAAATAATTTGCAATTTGTGTATTGGGGGGGTGCTGAGGATTGAACCCAGGCCCTTGTGCATGCAAGGCAAGCACTCTACCAACTGAGCTATACATCCCCAGCCTGCAAAGTTTTCAAAACTGAATTCACTCTTTTTGGGGATACCAGGGATTGAACTCAGGGGCACTTGACCACTGAGCTACATCCTCACCCATATTTTGTATTTTATTTAGAGACAGGGTCTCACTGAGTCACTTAGTGCCTCACTTTTGCTGAGGCTTGGCTTTGATCCTCCAGCCTCTGCCTCCCGAGCCGTTGGGATTACAGGCGTGTACCATCACACCTGGCGAATTCACTTCTGATCTAAACTCATTTTCTGAGGCTTCAGGAACATGCACATGTAAGCCTTTAGCTTGGAGCTCTCCAGAGGTTCAGATTCTGGAACCCTTCCACTTGACATGCACATGGATGTCCACAGTTGATCTTTTTAGGCCTTCCCCAGACCTGCCGCACCCACCGTCTTGCCATTTCAGTAGACAGGCACCTGCCCTTTACCAATTGCTCAGATCAAAGGTCTTGATCATACTTGACCCCTGTCTTTCAGACCCTACTTTCAATTCCAAGGCAGGTCTCTTCAAAATGAATTTGACACATCTCCCCACCTCCCTGCTGCCACCATAGTGTGAGCCTCAGAGCCTGCTAATGGGTCTCCCTGTTTCTGCCCCTGCCCTTTTGCAATCTGCTCAAATCCATCCAGTGGTCTTTGAACACCACCGTCCTTGGGGGGCTAAGGAGGTTTGGCATGATCTCTGCACCTCTCCCTTAGCTCCTCTGTCCCTCGGCACCTGAGCTGTCACCCCCCCACACACACCCTGTGCTTCCTCTCAGGCTTGCTCCATCCTCAGAGGGTCCTTCTCTTGAGTCCACCTGGCTTGTTCCTCACGGCTTTACTTTATTGTCCATCTGCTCGATTGGTTGTCAGCTGCATGAGCAGAGCTCCATAGTCCCTGTCTTCCTGGCACCAGCAGTACCTGATACATGACTGCCACTCAGGCACTTAGCAGTGAGTGGGCTGGTTGGCTGCTTTGTATTTACCTGCGCTTTGTTCAGGAACCCAGCCGTTTATTCCTGCCCTGACTGGTTGTGGCATGGGGTGTTTGGTTTGCTATACCATGTGTCTCACAACTTCTACTTTCCACGCATTACTGGGAACACTAAATGGTTTCTTAGCTAGGCTGATATGTACATGTTTGAAATTCTGGGGTTATTGTTCCATTGTCTAATTGGAGAGGTTTGAAGTCTGATTCCCCCCACCCTTTTTGCATATTTTCTTGATTTGGCTGGTGGTGATTAGTCCTGGACATGATGGCACATGGAATGACAGTCAACTACAAGAAATGGCTCAGCTGAGGATTAAACACCAGGAAGAACTGACTGAATTGCACAAGAAACGTGGGGAGGTAAAGACAACTCCTCTCCCATTCTGTCTTCTCTTTCAAGGGTCCTGTGCGGGAGATGGGAGATCAGCCACTTCCCTGGGAATTAGCAGCAGTCTAACTAAATTAGGCATTAAAAGCTCTCTTTGTGGGATTGAAAGAGTGGGGAAACACGAGGAAATGCAAGGTCCTTCGTGGAGAGGTGAGCCATGGTCAAACCACCCAGTTACCGTGCTTCAACAATGGTGTGAGAGACACAAGTGAGGAAGCTTTTGAGAACAAAAAGGGGCTTAGAGTTTGATTCACTAAAGATCTTTCTAATACTTATGAAACTTTTTGAGTGTGAACTCCAAAATTTCAGTTATTAGAAGGAGTCCTAGTTGTGTTTACCCTGAATGGTCATCAATGCAAAGCTCCAAATGAGAGAAGACAGTTAACTAGCAGTTCAGCCAAGTTGATGTGAGATCTGGGGGTAGACAGGTATTCTCAGCAAGAACCTGGTAGTCACCTAGAACACTTCATCCACATTTCCCTTTGCAAGGGAACAGCAGACAGTTCCTAGGCACATTACGCATACCCCCTCTGCCATTTACTACCTTTCTTGATACCTTTGCCCAACCCCTCAAACACACACCTTTCTTTATTAAAAACTAAGTGGATTGTCACCCACTATTGGTTTTCAAGTGAGATTCTTTTTTTGAGTGACTTAGGAGAGTGTTCTCTGTCTCCCAGTTAGCTCAGTTGGTGATTGACCTGAACAACCAAATGCAGCAGAAGGACAGGGAGATGCAGATGAATGAAGCAAAGTGAGTAGAAACCTTTCCTCCTTAGGGTTTGGTGATTGGTTCACATGTTGTGTTTTGCTGTACCCTTTGAATAGGGCCTGTAACCAGTGGTAGCCACGCTGCAGCCAGCAAGTGTCTTATTCCAGTCAATGCAATCTGGGCCCTTTTTCTGTGCCAAGGAAAGGCAAGCTCAATTCCCTTAGGCCCTAGGGTCCAAACATTCTCTAGGGAAATAACTGGCCCTTGCAAGGGTTCCAGAGCATTTGTAATCCCCTCATGGTGGCCTTGTGTGGATGTTGGTGTCTTCCTGTGGTGGAGCTGAGGCTATACTGAGAGCTTGGGACTCATGGGTGGTGTGTAAGTGAGCAGGATCATTTTTGATCAGAAACAAGAAAACGGGGATTTGGAGTCTTAGCACCATAGAGCTGCAGAGCCTCACAAAAATACCTTGCGAGCACCTAAAGTTTCCCTTCCTTCAAATCCTGCTTTTCTCAAAACTCTTGTTACTAGTCATTTGTGGGCAGGAGGAACCTTGCACTGGGTGTTTCCTAATAGGATTGTCCTGCACACCGTTGGTCCAGGTCTGGTGTGTGGCTCATGTTATGCTACTGGGCTAAGTTCACATAGTTGGCTTGCCCCCGTCCTCTGGCTGTAATGCAGGACTCTGGCCAAGGACACTTCCTCTTCTGACGGCATGCTTTCAGAATTGCAGAATGTTTGCAGACTATCTCTGACTTGGAGACAGAGTGCTTGGACCTACGCAGCAAGCTTCAAGACCTTGAGGTAGCCAACCAGACCCTGAAGGACGAATACGATGCCCTGCAGATCACTTTTACTGCGTTGGAGGAGAAACTGAGGAAAACTACTGAAGAAAACCAGGAGCTGGTCACCAGATGGATGGCCGAGAAAGCCCAGGAAGCCAACCGCCTCAATGCAGAGAACGAAAAGGACTCCAGGTGGGCATAGTCAGTGGTCTCCTTTTTCAGCAAAGCAGAAGCTAGTTCTTTAAAAAGAAAACAACATACAGGTTGGGGGTGAGAGTGTACCTGGCCTGTGCAGAACAGAAAACACTAACAGAATCACCAATAGTGATAGTGAGAATAAAAGAAATTTGCGTTTATAAGGATACTTGATATTGAGCCATGGAATACCTCCCAGAAGGGCAGGGCAGAGGCCTTCTGACCAACAGCCAGGAAGCACTCCCATCCTGTACACTAGGAATTTGCATCTGTGTGGTAGAAATGAAGCTTTTTAGAAACCTGACCCCTATCCCCAATCTATGACATCCATGCTCAATGTCCACTGCCTTACATATGCTCCTATTCAAACGAGCAATATGGCTCTTAGAGCAGTTTTATCCAGATGTGTTCTGACCAACCAATTCAAAAGTTTTTGGCACCAAACCCATGATACAACATGGGAAAGCTGGGAGAAGGGTATGATTCACCTAGAAAAGCAAAGAAAACTAGCTGATGCACTATTCACAGAAGCCCAGCAGAATTGAACCCTTTTCTAAAATCCCCATACCAGTAGTTCAGTACTTCATTTAGAAGACAGATTATAGGAAAAATCCTAAGGAGTAACTGAGCTTATGCCCTACCACATAATAAATCCACTTAGATGGGAAAGGCAGTGTAAAATCAAAGCCTTGGTCAAGTTAGAAAATATGAGGGACCGTCTGTTTATTTTATGAAGTGTTCCTAAAAAGGAGTCTTGGAGGACTTTCCAAACATAAAAGTAATGATATTAAAGGGTGGCAGTTCAAATTTTTTTAGGTTTCTCAACATCACAGACACTAAAACAATGAACCAGGAAATGCTCTCTTAAATATCCATAATAGAGTCAATAAGGAAAGATGAGCACAAAGTAAGGTGGTTCATAAGAGCAGACTTGGTTGTGGTGAGTAAATACCACAGAAAGGGGTGCTAGGGGGCAGGAGTACTGATAGTGTGGGGCTGCTGACTGCTTGAGGGCTGTTTGGAATAAGGAGGATCCTACGATTCTGGACTTGAGAGCCCCCTCTTGTTGGACTTTGTCCTAAGGAAGTAAGGGGACTTTCTGACAAACATTCATGATGGCATATTTTTCGTCAGTAGTAAAAAAAAAAAGATAGTGCATACCTTGGGGAACAGTTAAACTGTGATATGTTCATGCAATGGAATTTTATAAAGCCATTTAAGATTATTTTATTTTTTAATTGTAGTGGGACACAATGCGTTTATTTATTTATTTATTTTTAATATGGTGCTGAGGATCAAACCCAGGGCCTCGCACAAGCTAGGTGGTGCTCTGCTGCTGAGCCACAACCCCAGCACTAAGATGATGTATTTTAAGAATACTTGATACTGGGGCTGGGGATGTGGCTCAAGCGGTGGCGCGCTCACCTGGCATGCGTGTGGCCCAGGTTCGATCCTCAGCACCACATAAAAACAAAGATGTTGTGTCCACCGAAAACTAAAAAATAAATATTAAAAAATTCTCTCTCTCAAAAAAAAAAGAATACTTGATACTGAGGCTGGGGTTGTGGCTCAGTGGTAGAGCACTTACCTAGCATGTGTGAGGCACTGGGTTCAATTCTCAACACTGCTTATAAATAAATGAATAAAATAAAGGTCCACCAACAAAGAATACTTGATACCTAAAATACAGTGATATAACTGGAAATATGAAATATGTTGAGTGAAACGAACTATATTCATAACACCCCAGTTTTGTATGAAAGACTGGAGGGAATTATATTATTAATGATGTTTGGTTTTGGGGGTAAGATGTTTTGTTTTCTCATTTTATACTTCTATTTTTTCTAACTTGCTGAAGTTTCTACTGTGAAAAAATGAGTTTCTTCTATCATTTCTACCTCACATTAACTGTAAGATAGTTGGGCTTATGGCATGGTGTTCTCAGGCGGTGTGAGGGTTGTGAGGGTCGCAGGGTTGACAGGATGCTGCCAGGTGCCATGATCATCATCACTGAAGAGCCATTGGAAGGAGAAGCCTCTGAGCGTCACAGGGAAAATGATGCTAACCTAACAAGACCGTTATATATCTGCCCCTGTCCTTTCTTCCTCCCTTTGAAATGACTTCCAAGGATTGTGCCCTTGGACTATTGAAGGTGTGGGGCACCTGCAATAGTCAGAATCCCTGGAAGCCTACCCTCTGTGTTGCCTGCTTTCTGCTAAATCCCTCTGTCCTTGTCCCTACTTCTAGCAGCTTTTGTTGAGCTGGGCTGTGATGGAGCACACCAGAGAGCTTTTCATGTTCTGCCTTCTGCAAAAGACCATGTCCCCACAATTGGGCTCAATAGCTGCTAATGCTTTAAGATGCACTCGAGGGCTATCTGAACTATCAGGGAAATACCTGTCCTATCAGCTCCACTGATGAAGGCCTGGCTCAGGTGCTGTTCTCTTTTTTTCCTTATCAGTTTTTCACCCCTTGCCAGAATGGGGACATGAAGGTAGAGAAAGGAGTAGGTTTCAGATGGTCTATCAACAAGTGCCATAACTTGGAGCAGCATAACTCCCTCCACATTCAGGTTCTGGTTTTCTATCAAAGGTAGTTTGAGGCTCTCACAGCTAAGAAAGTTTTTGTAAATTGTGTATTTTATAATTTTTCCTTTGAGACTTAATTTTCATCCTAATGGAAGAAGCTTTTTCAAGCTATACCTTCATCTCGTCCCAGGATTTTGGTAGGCCACTTAACAGGACTTTTCCCAGTTGGAGAAATTGGCACTGTGGGAGAGGCCGAATAGAAGTTCTAGCGAGTTATTGATTGGAGCTCAAAAGCAGGGCTGGAGTTCCAGGTTGGGGGCATTCACAGATGAGTAAAATTGCCAAGGAAGGGAGAACAAGGTTGCCAAGGTGAGCTCCTGAAGTTAGGATACTAACTGAAGTTAGGAGGGGTGGATGAGGCTCTTTTACATTCCCAGTTAGCTGTGGATCCCAGTTAGCCATGGTTAGCTTTTGTCAGTTAAAAGTTATGTACACTTTGACAGTTGAATTTCATTAGACCTCTCTTGCTTTATCTGTACAGGGGAAGTAACAGTGCAGTTAGCCCTCAGAATCAACAGGCTCAACATCTGTGGACTGCTTAGGGAAAAAATGTGGGTTTGTACTGAGCATATAAAGACCCTCTATTCCTGTCTCTATCCTAACCCATAGAGTGTACCAATTATTTTCATAGCATTTATATTGTAGTAGGTATTATAAATCATCTAGAGCTGATTTATAGTATATGGGACGATGTGCCTAAGTTCTCTGCACATACTGTACCATTTGGCATAAGAGACTTGAGCATCTCTGGATTGTTGTATCTGTGTGTAGGGGGGGTTGTCCTAGAACCAATCCCACGCCGATACTAGGGGACAACTCTACTTACCTCAAAGGGTATTAGAAGAATTTAATTAATTGATCCATAAGATGATTAAACCATGCCAAGTACAAGTAAGTCCTAAGTCAATCTTTACTATTCTTGATCATGCTGTGGGTGTCTTAATATAGTACTTTCTAAGACGGCTGCAAAAAGCTGTTGTGGCCCTGATTAGCCTTCAATAAACCTGAAGTGCCTTCTGTCCTAAGAGGCCCTGGCCCCATCAGGTGACCTCCTTCCTTGCTAGTTCACCTACTTCCTCTTATAACATGATCTCTCCTCTAGGCATTCCTCTGAAACCCTTTATAATGGGGAGTGTGTTGAGTTTGAGACTTTGAGTGTCTTGGCCAGGGTAGCTGCTATTTTGTATGCACTGAATGTTCAAATGTGCTATGGAAACTAGCAATTTATTGCAAGTGAAGCCTCCATGTTTTCCTTACACAAACATAAATGATGAGCTTTTTTTTATTTTTATAAATAGGAGACGGCAAGCCCGGCTGCAGAAAGAGCTTGCTGAAGCAGCAAAGGAACCACTGCCAGTTGAACAGTAAGTAAAGACCAATCTAAACTGTGTTCTTAACCATTTGTCTCTTAAAATTGTTGTTTTATTCCTATATAGTCACTTTAAAGATATTAGAAAAGAAAACTGAAGCCTGGCATGGTGGCACACACCTGTAATCCCAGCAGCTAGAGAGGCTGAGGGAGAAGGATCACAAATCCTTTTTTGAGGCTGGCTTTGAATTCATGATCCCCCTGCCTCAGCCTCCCAAGCCATTGGTATTACAGGCGTGTGTGTGCTACCATCCCTTGCAAGGATTGTAAGTTCAAAGTCAGCCTCAGCAATTTAGCAAGACCCTGCCTCAAAATAAAATATAAAAAGGCCTGGGGATGTGGCTCAATGGTTAAGCACTGCTGGGTTCAATCCCCAGTTGGGGGGTGGCGGGGGACAAAAGGCAAAAAGTCAAAACATAATTCTGCCACCCAGAAAGTAACACCCACTCGACCATTTTAATTTTATTTTGGTGGTTTCTGATTCCTCAATTAAAAATGAGGTACTGAGTAATATGACCATGTTTCTGATTCTTTATTTGGGATAGATTCTTGAAAATTTGTAGAGTCAAAACTGTTTTAGAAAATATGACTTTCCAAAAAGTTGTTTCTGTTTACACTCCTCAGCTGGGTGTGGATCCAGCTTTCTATGTCTGGGAGGCCTCATCATGTATCTGTCTGCTGTTTTCAAGTGTAGCCTAGTGACTAGGTGAGGCATGATTTAGAGGGCTACAGTATCCTACCCCAGGTCACCCAGGAAGGGCCTGCACAGGGTGCAAACCTGAGAACTTTGGCTAGAGGTTCTTTTCATCTTTGCTTCCTTAAGAGTCAAACCCTCTTTTTAAAGGCTAGTTGGCAAGTCCTAGTATTTTCTCATGGTCCTGGGCCTGTGCAAAGATCCAGGAAATTTAGGAACCCAAGATTCTCTTTGAAACTGCATCATTGTAGGCTCAGTTCATGTTTGGCCCTCTTGCCCTCTGTATAATTCTGTTGTCCTCTTAGCCTAGGTGACTCTCACAAATCTACATCTGTGAAAGCCAGCCAAGAAGGAAATCAGGCACAGCCTTGTTCTCATTATTCTTCTCTACGTCCTGGCCAAGAATGTGGAGCAATTATATATAATGCTAGAATAAATAAAAGAAGACAAATTTACTTTGACATGGTTTAACTTGCTTGGTAACAAGTTCTTAAGTATATATTCATATAATCCAGATAATTAATCAAAGAAAAGGAAAAATCTTGCTTTCAAGTTCTTGAGTCCCAATAGTAAGTGATGAAATCTTGGCCTGTTACTTTATTATTTTACTTCTCCATGAAGATTGTGGCACAGTAGGAGGTCATTAAAACCAAAATAATTATTGCCTTCCCCCAGTCAGGAAAGACATGGCCTCTAAAAATATGGAAGAAGGGGAATTCCAGAGGTGCTTTGCATCCAGTGGAATAAACAGCAAAAGCAGCGTGTTCCTTTAACAGGTGCTCTCCCTTGGAATGTGTTGGATTCCCCAAATGTCAGAAACACTGAGAGCTTAAACAAAGCCTGTGTTATCCAGAGTCAAATATGAATGGTGTTTAGAGTTTGCTCTTGAAAACTATTCTCAGTTGGCATTTTGGATCTGTTTTAATAGGTTTTTTGTTTGTTTGGTGCTGGGGATTGAACCCAGGGCCTCACATGTGCTAGGCAGGCACTCTACCAGTAAGCTACATCTCCAGCCCCAGTGTTCTGGATCTGAACAGGTTAAATGTTTCTTTTCACATTTATCTGTAGTGGGAGAGCTTCCCTTTTCTCTAGAGAACCTTTTACCATATCTCTTATAGCCAAGTGTCATAGGTTGTGATTAGAAATGTAATGGCCTTTGCAAAACTGATTCTCTACAAAGCCCCTGATTATCAGAATAAACCTCTTGCTCTTCGTTCCAGGGATGATGACATTGAAGTCATTGTGGATGAGACCTCAGAGCACACAGAGGAGACCTCGCCTGTGCGAGCTATCAGCAGAGCAGCCACGTGAGTAGATGGGTGAACAGGGGACAAGTGGAAGTTTGATAGCATATTTATGGGCATAGCGAGAACATAAATATGCCCACACCTCCAACCCTCTTGGTGGAATAGCTAGCATCTTATATACCACCATGGAGAACACCAGTTTGTCTGGTTCACCTCCACCTAATGGGAATGGGAGGGAAGCAGAACACAGGTGGGTGTCTTCCTAAAAGATTGCCAGTTAAACCTTATTAAGCAGAATGACCAGATCTCGGGGCTCAAGGATTTTTTTTTTTTTTTTTTTTCCTGTTTGCTAAAGCAAGACTAAAAGAGTGGGGATTGGTTATTAACACTCTGAAATTGTTAGGTCAGTTAGATTAAATTCCTTGTCTAAGGTTTTGTTTCCAGGCAAATTAGTTCAATATTAGGGAACCTTGTTTCTTTTCAAACTGCTAGGCTGGGTTTTCCCTTCTACCTTCCCATTATTTCCTGGTGGTTCAAATACTGTGAGTTTTTCTTGGCTGAATTTTGGGTACTAAGTGGGAAAAATACTCCTAGGTACTTGTTTTATGGGCTGTTTTAATTGATAATTTGGGCGAAATGTTTCTAAGGTTTAAACCTATCCTCCCCTCCTCTTTAGTAAGCGACTCTCGCAGCCTGCTGGAGGCCTTCTGGATTCTATCACTAATATCTTTGGGTAGGTTAGAAGACCTTCACCTTTCCTTTTTTAAATGTGTGTAAATATACCTAAGCATATGTACATGATTTATTATTTTTTAATTGTACACCAGAATTTCAGTGGTGCAGCAAATACAGATACCTTAATTTTGGCCATTCATGTAGCTTCCTCCTTTTTTCCCCAACTTCTTTCTCTTAATCTCGCTTTGTGCTGATCTCTGGCCTTTCCCTTTAGTCTGTCCGAGTCTCCCCTTTTGGGGCACCATTCTTCTTCTGATGCTGCCAGGTGAAAGTATTACCCTCTTAGCCAAGCATGTGAGTGTGGGTCATTGATAGTCACGCTGATCACGCTGCACTGCCCGCAGTCATCAGATGTCCACGTGCTAACCTGAGTGCTTTGCATGCTCCCAGGAATGAATGCTGGAAGCCCCCCAATCTGGGCAGTAAAGTGGAGCTCCTTGTATAGTCATCATGCTCTTGGCCTCTTTCTTTTGGCATGCATTCGACTCCACCTTGACCACAGTGTATGCTGGGGGTGATTGTAACTAGGCATAGAAATCATCTTAAAATAGTGTTACAGAAACACCAAAGAGCTACCTCTGAGCTAGCTGTTAATTTAGTTGGAAAAAGTTCCTAGCAGTTAGCAAGGTAAGTGATCTTACAGGGCAGCTTTTTAGTGCTGTTTGGGAGCCCATGAGTTAGAATGCAGGAGAGTGAGGAATGCGTTGACACACTCCTGTTGCCCTCTGCATGAGGGTGCTTCTTATGGTTTGAAGGGTCTGGAAGGAAAAAGCTATTGACAAAGATAGCCTGCTTAAGCAAGATCATCTTTAAGGCCTTTCTGACGGCTTGAAGAGTAGTGATCCTGTGCAGTCTTGTCTAATATTTACCTTTGTGTTATTCTTTAGGAGACGCTCTGTCTCTTCCTTTCCAGTCCCCCAGGATAATGTGGATACTCATCCTGCTTCTGGTAAAGATGTGAGGGTACCAACTACTGCCTTATGTGTCTTTGTAAGTATGCGCTCCACCAAGCTTGGTATGGTAACAGGGCCTGATCACTAAAGGGTTATTTTCATAGTTCAACTGAGCTTTCTGTCATTCACTTTTATCAAGCTCTTATACCTGCTTGCTCTGTCCTCTGTGAGGGATTAGTATATTTTGCTTAGCTTTAGAGCACAGAATTTACTACAGCCCTTCTGGGTAATGTTACACTGGCTGTAAGAGAGGATTTGGTAGCAGGAGGGATGGGGTAAGGGAAAACTAATTAGGGATGGTGAGAAATTAAAGTAATTCATGTAATTGTAGTCACCAGATAGCTGCAATTTAGGGTGAGATTCTAGCTAGTGGTCTGTTTCGGAAGTCTAACAGGGAAGCTCTTGGTTTCATAAATTAAACCCTTGTTTGAATGACTTCCTACCACTAAGAGCTTATGATTGGAAGCAGAACACAGCCCTGGGCAGAAGCCACTGTGACACCAGGACTGTCATCTGGAGTTCAGAGCTGGGTCCTGGTACTAATAGATAATCCTTATCCCAGCTAGTGTAAATGAACCAACCTGGCAAATGTCAGGTATCTGCTGGGCCTGTGAGAACACTGGAGAGGGAAAGAAGGGGCAGCATGAAAGCAGAGCCAGAGTTGGGTTGACACTGGTGTGGGCCAGGTATGGCCAAAAGAGGTTGCTTTCCGAAGAGGGAAGGATTTACTAGAAATATGGAATGGCATTTAGGTTGTGGGAGCTTTTAGTTCAGGCACCCAGAGGAACTTCCTTAGGTAATTCCTCACAGTGGGCTGCCTAGTGACTTCATTGTCAACTAGCCTGTATTGGAGGAGGAGTTATATTGGGGAAGGGCTTCTTCCCATTCTGATCTCGCTCCTATGATTCCCCAACAGGCCTGAGCACTTCACAGTGGTCAATGATGATTGGTAAAAGGTCTGATTGCACTGAATGTCACAGTCCCTTCCTTGCCCTCAACTCCCAGCAGCCCATTTTTCCCCCTAGCACATTAAGTCATGTGTGTGGGATGGTGGAGCAGCTGACAATCAGGGATTTTGTCAGTGTGTGTTTTGGAGAGTGAAATATTCACAGCTGACTAGTATCCAACAGAACACATTCCTCAGGAGCTTGATGAGTGGCAGGCAGGGTGTGACAGTGCATGATCTCAAGTTTTCAATCTGAGACCTCGGGAAAAGAAAATTTATTTTGAAAAAGGAAATGTCAAGTTCCCTGTCATGAAGATTTTCAGCAGTGGGATATGAGGGAAAGTGAGAAACCAAATCATCAAAGTGCTGCTCAATTCCGAGTCAATTAATGGAGATGCCAGTAGCAGTAGCTCACTGCCCACACTTTGCTGGGCTTGAAGCAAATCACAAATGACATACTTCACCCAGAAAAAATTTCTGTATTCACTGTCCTATTAAGAGAGTGAATTATAGTGATGCCTATTATTCCCTCTGCCCCTTTTGGGGTGGGATGCTTTATTGCCTGGATTGCGTTCTTATCCTGAACCATGTGTGCCATCTTTTGAGCTTATATTTCTCTGTTTATGCCAGTCTCACATTTCCCAAAGGAAATTTTTTGCAGATGAACAAAAGGAGGTTTCAAAAAGTTAAGAAAGCTTGGCAGAGATCATACTGGTGATAAGGCTAGATTTGTTTTGTTTCAGAAGAAATTACATAGAAATCTGCCAGGCTTGGTAGTGCATGCCTATAATCCTAGCAGCTAAGGAGAATGAGGTAGGAGGATCGCGAGTTCAAGACCAATCTCAGCAACCTAGGGAGGCCCTAAGCAACTTAGTGAGACCCTGTCTCTAAATAAAATACCAAAAAGGACTGGGGATATGGCTCAGTGATTGAGTGCATCAAAGTTCAATCCTTAGTGTCTTGTCCCCACTCAAAAAAATAATAATAACTACTAAATAGAATCCCCATTGTAACATTAATGTACATCTAGGAATAGGACCAGTGTCTGCTTAGAGTAGGACTTATCAGGAAAGCTTTCTTAGCCAAGTGCAGTAATGCAGACCTATAATCCAAGCTGCTGAGGAGGCTGAGGCAGAATGATCACAAGTTCAAGGCCAGCCTTGGTGACATAGTGAGACCCTGTCTCAAAATAAAATTTGGCTGAGGGTTCGGTGGTAGAGTCATAGCCCAGTTGTAGAACACTTGGCTAGCATGCATGGGGCCCTGGGTTCAAGCCTTACTACCAAAAAATAATAATAAAAAGAAAGCTTTATTATGAGAGGCAATATACTACACATTATTCAGATACATAGTGTTTAGCATTAGTAAATTAGTAATAGGAGTAGATGTAATATCTGGCCCAAAAGAACCATTTGGTTCTAAGCTTGCTTTTAAGCTAATAGGGTATATACAATTCAAAGTGCCATTATTCTTAGAAGAAATAAGATTAATGCAAAGACCAACTTAAGGCAAATTATCTACTAATTTTGCTTTTTTAAGGTTGTAGTGCAACTAAATAAATGAAGCTGTAACTCTTAAGAATAAAATGCTACTAGAACCTTAGAAGACCTTGGGCCAGCAGTCCACTTTAGATTATGGTTGGCTCCCCCTCTGTTTAAGGATGTGTTTTGCCTCGAGTTAGGTGTTGAGTGTGTATGTGTGTTTTGGATTCGGGAATAATACTGATGGAACTTGAAATATGGTGTTGTAGGATGCACATGATGGAGAAGTTAATGCTGTACAATTCAGTCCAGGTTCCCGGTTACTGGCCACAGGAGGCATGGACCGCAGGGTTAAGTTATGGGAAGCATTTGGAGGTAAGAGCTATTGGTGGAATGTGGTTGCCCTTGCTCTCAGGCACTCTGAGTTGTTTATCATCTTAAAGCATACAACTTTTTTTTATGTAAGAATCATCTGACCAAAGCATTTTTACCATTTCAATTTCTCTTTATATCTGAATGCATGTTTGTTCTTATTTCTCAAGCAATGACTAGAAAATACTATTATTATGAATGTTTATCTCATACAGTAATCAGAACATCAGAACAAAATAGTACCAGTTTTAGAAGGAAAATAAATCTTTATAATTAAACTGTACATCAAGCTGTGGTTTATACGTTTGTTTCCTCCTCCCTCCTTCCTCCTCCTCCTCCCCCCCTCCTCCCCCTCCTCCTCCCTCCTCCTCCTCTTTCTCCTTCTCTTTCTCCCCGCCCCCAATCATAATGCCAATGACCATGACCTAGATAAAAAGAAGCCATATCTAAGCTTGAGTAAAGGAAAAAGAGGATTATTACCTGGAAAAGATGTGTTGAGCCAAGTGGTATTCATGAAAACATCTTTTAGAATTCTGAAGGTGGATGTAGTCCAGTTTTGACATTTTTGAGATTCAGTTTCATGTACGTATATTTTCACTGAACTAAATGTAAGTAATAAGATTTTTATTGGAACTGGAACCGCTTTGTCAGGTTTCTGTAGTTGTAGCACATACATTTTCACTGTCCCCAATAAATAGCTCCGAAGTGCCTTTGTCTGTATTAATTCCTGTGATCCTTAACAATAGCCTCATGTGGTTAGAAAGGTAGTTCTTACCCTTTTTTGACAGACGAAGACAGCAAAACTCAAAGAGATGCAACATAATTTGTGTATTTGATATACACAGTTAACAAATTACATGGCAAGTGAGTAGTGGAGCCAGAACTAATCAGAATCATATAACTTGAAATCACTTCTCCCCAGCCTCCCCACCCACTCCCCAACTGGAGATCGAAGCCAGGGGTGTTTTACTGCTGGCTTACATGCCCCCAACACTTTTTGAAACAGGGTCTCACCAAGTTGCTAAAGCTGGCCTCAAACTTAACACTAGTCTTTTCTGTGCTATAGAGGATTACCACTTTTGATGTTTGTTTAAATAGATTTTAGTTTAAATAGATTTATTTAAATAGTTTAGTTAAAATAGATTTATTGGTGAGCACTGTACCTGTCTCGCCTTTGATTTGCCAGAAAGTGACTCCGTTTAAAAAACAAAAACAAAACAAAAAACCTTGGCTGTGACAGCCTGTTGAAGCCCATGGAAATTTTTGTTTTGCCCAGAAACACCCTGGTAGACTGGATGCTAATGGCCAAAATTGTTATAAATAATAATGAAGCCCTATTATAAGAAAATAAATATTAGGGGATTTGATTTATAAAATTTTAAGCAGAGCTGGGGGAGTGGCTCAGTGGTAGAGTCTCGCCCATGGCCCGCACAGGTGGTGGAAATGGGGTTCCCCTCCATGAAATGAGCTGGATGAGAAATAAAGCTAGAACAACAAAGAAACCCATCTTCGGAGCTACTATGAGGGATCTTCTTGGCAGAGCAGAGATAAAGGTCATATGCATTGGGCGGGCGATGTGTTGTTGTGGGAGAGCCACAGATAGTTTGCAGTGCTAACCCTAAATTTCCTGGCTTCCATACTGAGAGAAGATCCTCATGTAATTCATGGATGGCTTTCTGCAGTAGAGCATTTGCCTAGTGTGCCTCAAGTCCAGGTTTGATCCCCAGCACCACAAAAATAAAGTTGAACAACTAGTCTATTTTGATTATGCTTTTGCAGTTAATTAAGAGTAGTATGAGACATTTTGTTTCACTGCCCAGTCAGTAAAAAACACTTCTGAGAAGATTAGAGGGGTGCAGGCAGGGCTGCAGGAAAAGTGCCATCAGCCCTGTTGGGCAAGGCAGGAATCATTGGCTCTTGGTGGGCTTGCCAGTATCCCAGTATATGCAAAGCAACTTTAAGGACAAATTCCTAAAGCTCCAAACTGAGCCTTTTTGGCTTTCTACCAAAATTTGAAAAATTTCTTTTCAGACCTTAATGAAAATTATCACACCATAGATTCAGAATTTTGGTGATCAGAATTTCTACAAAATTAGTTGGCATGAGTACCGATTAAACCCAAAGATTAATGTATGTGAATTATAAAATTTTACTGAGAAGTAATGGACCTAGGGGCTGGGGATGTGGCTCAAGCGGTAGCGCGCTCCCCTGGCATGGGTGCAGCCCGGGTTTGATCCTCAGCGCCACATAAAAACAAAGATGTTGTGTCTGCCGAAAACTAAAATGTAAATAAAATATTTTAAAAAAAGAAGTAATGGACCTATATAAATTCAGTCTCTAGTTTAATTTGACGTTTTATAAAATACAGTTCTTTGTAAAGGGGATTAATAATTCAAAATGTCTTAGAATATTTAATAATATGCTAGAATCTGCACCCATTTAAATGTTCATTGTTGTTAGAGACTAACAATATATTTTGTCTCTTACATTCTATTTGTCCTGTTGTTTTATTCTGTAAGGGTGCAGGAAAGTTTCTATTTGACAATGTAAATTGACTATCATTGTGTTTCAGTGCTCCATCAAACTCATTATCAACTTCCTGTCTTTTCTAAATCTTATCTTTTTATACAGACAAATGTGAGTTCAAGGGCTCCCTGTCTGGTAGTAATGCTGGAATTACAAGCATTGAATTTGATAGTGCTGTAAGTATCTAGTTTCTGTGATTTTGGAGATTTCTGAAAAGTTAGACATCTAATTATTAAGAAGTAACTGGTTTCTCTGCCATTCTTCACATCTTAAGTCAAATCCATGTTAGAGAAAGGTAGAAGTAGATTATAGAGCTAACTGGTCTATCAACTCTGATATTATAATTCTGTTACTTGGTACCTCCTGCCTTTGGTACTGGGGATTGAGTCTGGAGTGCTGCTCCACCAAGCTACATATCCCCAGCCACTTTTTCATTTTTTGTTTTGAGACAGCGTCTTACTAAATTGCCCAAGCTGGTCTTGAACTTGGGGATACAGGCGTGTGCCACTGTACTTAGCCTACTCAGTATTTTTAATTCTATTTTATTGTTATATTTTGTGTGTTTAGATCCTGTGCTATAGGGGCACCATGTGGTCCTACCCTTCAGTAAATTGCCATTTAAATGAGAGTGGTTTAAAAGCATTAAACTGCAAGTCATTGTACTAAAGTAATGTGTAAAATAGGAATGAACTGCTCACTCATCAGCATTTCAGAGTGGGGATTAGGAAACAAAATAAGCCAACTTGGCACAACTCCAGATAATCAAAGGTTAGATGCAAAAAGCCCAGTGCTGAAATTGCAGGGAGAGGAAGCAAAGAGAAGATTAGAGGTAGGACTAGTGTGCAGTAGCCAGGTGAGGTGACAGTGTCTGCTCAAGAGTCCTTCTATCTCTGTCATCTCAGGTGTCCTTTTCACATCCCTACTTGGGTAAGGGTCCTCTGGGACCTGGAATGTCTTGTGCAAAAACCCATTCTGGAGAGAGAGAGAGAAGTCTACATCTGCTGCTTTTATCAAGCTAAGAACTCACTCCCAGGGGATGAGCACTGGTGGTTAGTTGTCTTTGTGCTCCTAACACAAACTGTTAGCTTCTTAACCCAGTAAGTCCCTAGTTATTATGAATATGTCAAGAGAATTGACATGGATGCATTTTTAGGTGAGCTCATATATATTATTATATTAATGAATATTAGTGGACATTGTCATTATACTATTATTCCTCTTATGTAATTGTATTATCCCATTATGTAAGTTTTTATAGGTGCTTCACATCTTGGACAGTGGGACAAAAATGGGTTAATAACCACTCCTTGAGTTAATGACTCCTTGAGGTAATGATAAGGAAATTTGACTGGAAAGTTAGATGTAGGTCAGAGTATATCTTGACTCAGTGAAACCATGTGGAGGATTTTGCATATGTTTGGCAAATGCTCTACCACTGAGATCTATCCCCAGCCTTGAGAGGTTTTCAGAAACAGATATAGCATTAAATTCTGCAATAATTGACATTGAAGACTGAATTGGGAGGGGCAGATCTGCAGTGGCCAGCATCCAGTGCTTCTGCAGACTTGATTCAGGTTGGGGCTGAGGTGCAGGCAAGAGAGGAAAGGGTCTAGCTGGATGCATGGAAAGTAGGTGGTCTTGGAGGATGGGTAGTTGGGAGTTGAGCCCAGGGAAGAGTAGGTGCTTCTGGGCTTTCTGCTTGGATTGTATGTGGAGAATTTGTATTTGCTGCGTAGGGTAGGTGATGAGGGGAAAGATGAGCGTGGGAGACTTGAGTTCCATTGAGCTTTAGAAATCTCAACATTCCAGTGAAATTGAGTGATTTCAGGAGGAAAGCTTAATTTGAAGGGGATCTGTAGGTTGATAACACGCTGGTGGTGATGGTGTTCAGATCAGGTGTGTAGTTTTAGGCATCTAACCCTTCTTGGACTTGATTATTAGGAAACTTGTTTCTTGTGAACTGAATTCCTCTACTTTAGCTAAAAGTTGTTTTTTCTTTCATTTATTCCTCTAGGGGGCTTACCTCTTAGCAGCTTCAAATGATTTTGCAAGCCGAATCTGGACTGTGGATGATTATCGATTACGGGTAAGGCTGGGTTAAGACAAGTATAATGTACAAGCCATGTGGTTGTCAAGGCACACAATACAGGAAAATGGCAGATGAATAACTAGGGGACTTGTGTGTGCTTCCCTGAAAATCAGTATGATTGACACTTTTCTCCTTGGGAAAATTTGTTTCTACTTACTCCCATATTTTGTCTAAGATTCAATTTCAGCATGTTTGCAATAGACCCTCCCATGTCCATGGAAGACTTGGGGATACTCCTCCTGTCCATAAGGACTAGGTACTTTTTATATAGATATCAATTTTAGCTTAGCTTTACAGATTTTAGCATCAGCATGTGAATTGTGATTCACCTCATAGAGTAAGCTGGAAAGTAGAAAAAGTACAAATGGGTATACTTATGATAGATGTGAATGACTCCTGATGCTGGAAAATAGGAAACAGGTGTAGAAGTAGGCTCAGATGTTGAGGCAGTTTGCATTTGAGCCTAACTTTGCATCCAAGACAAAGATCTGAACTTGATGGTTACAAGTTTGACACAGCTATTTTTGTGTCAACTACATTAAAAGTGGCACGATGTTAAAAGGAACTTCTTGAATCCACTGGGAGGTGGGGAGCTCTATTAGAATGGTCTATTAGGTAGGTTCCTGGTGTTCTGATTGGAGGGTGCCTGGATGAAGCTAGGTGAATCTTTAGAAACAGAGTTATCACTTTAGGCTATCTGTCTTCCTGAAAACTGTGTGGAAGGTGAGCAGTATTAGGTGTAGCTAGTACCTGAAAAGTTGAAATTCTTGATTGTCACTTGACAAAAGATTCTCAGAAATGCAGAGCAGAGCATGCTAGGGTTGTTGCTCAGTGGTAGAGCACTTGCCTAGCACATGTGAGGCACTGGGTTCAATTCTCAGCACTGCATATAAATAAATAAGTAAATAAATAAAAGTCCATTGACAACCAAGAAAATATTTTTTAAGAAAAGAAATGCAGAGCAAAGCCCTAAAGGTGATAAAAGATGAATGCGTTGTGTTCTTGTTCTGGATGGAGTAGAGGAGGAATTTTAGTCTTAAATAACCTACAAAGGGGAAGGAGTCTAAAGTCATGCAGTTAGTAAATAATAAGGTTTGCATTTTAATTGAGGTCTGTGCTCTTTCCTACATTCAGCTGGTCTGTATTATTCAACACTGAGAACAGAGCAAGGCCGACTAATCATTGAAGAGGTACCAATAACCTTCCTTGATCTTAGGCCCTGGGAGAGGAGGGAACCTTTTGAGAGTAAACCATTTGTGCAGGATGGTATTTTTCATTCCTAAGAGAAGTTACATGCAGATGGCCTTCAAGCTTTGGGCCTGAAAAATCAAGAAGGAGGCCTAGGAAGGTAGACCTAAAAGACAAAGGCCAGAGTATTGGGAGACTTTGTCCAAGTGAGCAAGGTGGAAAGATGGACCCACTCCTCCTTGGAAAGAGTGCCCACAGGATGCTGGTGGGCAACCCCTACCTTCACAGGCTGCTGTTGATGGTGCCATGTCAGAACTGTACCCTCCTTTCAAGACCAGTTGGTGCTGAGGGCCTTGACCTGTTTTCAATGGAGTCCCATCCCTAAATAAGCATTTGAAGATCTGGAGGCCTTTTACAGTGGATTCTCTACCCAGAGAATACTCATGAAACTCTCAATGGGTTCAGGAAACAAAATAGGGTCCCCGTTTTCTAAAGTTACATGGGACTCGGTGGTGTAGGACTTCAATCCAGCAACTTAGTGAGACCCTGTCTCAAAATTCAAAAGTGCTTGGGCTGTAGCTTAGTGGTAAAGCATCCCTGTGTTCAATTCCTAGTACCAAAAAAATCTAAAAGTTACTGCACAACTACCTGGATGCTTCTTTGTCTTGAGGAACTGTGTTGAATACCCAGCTGCTCACTTCTGTAACCAATGTTGGAAAAGTGCCCGTTGTAAGGATCGGCTCCTAGGTAAGATGTAGTTTTTACTTCAGAAACCTCAGCCAGTTTGTGCTGAGCAGAGTCCTTTTTGTGCTGTAGTTTTCTTGATCTTACCAGAAGTTTACAGATATTATCAAATAGTTTGAAGAAAAATACAGTAGAATATAGAGAATAGAAGGTGCTGACAAGAGGTAGTGCATACTTATAGGTATTTTTCAATATTTATTCTTCCCATCCCCATTTTAAAAGTTGAAACCCTTAGCTTGGTGAGGCTGTGTCACTGAGACCTGGCAGTAGGAATTGTCAGTGCATTGATGAGCTGGATGGGTGGGGTGGGCTGCTCCTTCCTTTGTCCTTTCATTTCTGCTTGCGGGATGTGGGTGTAATGGCTTGAATTCCTGGACTCAAGGAGTTTTTTTTTTTTTTTTTGTACTTTGAAAGAAAGCATCAGTGATCAGTGAATACCTTTTGAGTTTTTGTTATTTGCTGCCATTTGGGGGTTTGTTTTCCCCTTGGCAGTTCTGGGGATCAAACCCAGAGCCTTACACATGCCAGGCAAACCCTTTACCACTAAGGCACGTCCCCGGCCAGGTGAATACTTTATGAAGCTTTGGAATTTTTTATGTATAAAAATGCCAATCCCATTGTGAAAAGAGGTCGATGATGAGTAGTAAAAGGTCTGACTGCCCAGGTCCCCTCCCAGCATCCTGAATGTCCCCAGCCGCCTCAATCCCATCAGGCTCCAGTGGTGCCACAATGGGCCAGAGAGCAGCTGACAGGCAGGGATGGCTTGAGTCTGTGTTCCCTGGTGAGCCAAGGGAAGACACGGTGGTTGCATCCAACAGCTTAGCCACGAAGGGCAAGGGACTGATGGTTGGGAGAGCTGGTATCTGTGGCTGTGATCTGACGTTTTCAAGCTGAGACCTCTGACGGAAAACGCCCTAGAGCTTTTAAGTATGTAAAGTTCTGATGCTTCCTTTAATAAATAATGTCTGCAGATAACCTGTCTAATCTCACTGCAGTGGTACTGGACAAAATCCAGGCTTTTAAAATCTTTTATTTTGATACAATGGAGATTGATTTTTTAAAAAATCAAGAACAGAATAAGCAGGAGTCTGTAGTAGAGCCGGGGGTGTGGCTCAGTGGGAGAGCACTTACCTAGCAAGGGCAGGCCCCAGATATGGTCCCCCATGCCCACTCACCTGCCCCTTTCTTTTCTCACCACCCCCACCCCTTCCAAGGACAGGGAAGTTTGGTGCTGGTGATGCTAGGGTTTTATTTAATGCTATTGGGAGATTTATCCTCTTGGTCTTGATACCTACGTTAGCTTTCTGTTGCTGCAGGAAAATACCTTGAAGTAAGCAGCTTAAAAGGAGGAAAGATTTACTTTGGCTTGTGGTTTCAGAGGTTTCAATCTCTGGTTGCTTGGCCCTGTCACCTTTGGCCTGTGGTAGCACAGCATATGATGACAAGAGTGCATGGTAGAGGGCCCTACCCATTCACCTTTTGGCCAAGAAGCAAAAAGTGAGATGGGAAAAGACCAGGACCCCAGTATCCCCTTCAGGGGAATGACCTCGACTTTCCACCTCCTGAAGCATCTGCACTTGCAGTAGTGCCATAGGCTGCAGACCAAGCCTTTTAAACATGAGCTTTTGAGAAGCATTCAAGATCCAGTCTGGGGCTGGGGCTCGGGCTCAGTGGTAGAGTTCTTGCCTAGCATGGGCAAGGCCCTGGGTTCCATCCTCAGCACCACATAAAAATAAATAAATTAATTAAAGATATTGTGTCCAACTACAACTAAAAAAAAAAAAAGATTCAAGCCATAGAAAGATCTCACCTCTTGGCAACACCCAAAGACAGAGACTTCCTGGAATTTTCTGTAAGCTACTCAGACCAGAAATGTTGCTGCCTCACTGAAATTGCTTCATAGGAAATATGTAGCCTCCTTGGTTGAGACTAAGTGAATGAACATGCCTCCTGTCCTATGTTTCTTGTTCTTTACCTTCCCATTGTCTTGGAGTTTCTGGTCGGATCTCAGGGTGTTTTGAGATTGGCTCTGGAGGATTGAGTGCCTCCTGCTCCTCCAGCATGGCCAGCTGGTTGCACCCCAAGGCTCACCGTGGCTATTTTCTTTCCTAGCACACGCTCACAGGACATAGTGGGAAAGTGCTCTCTGCTAAGTTCCTGCTGGACAATGCACGGATCGTCTCAGGAAGTCATGACCGGACGCTCAAACTCTGGGACCTTCGCAGCAAAGTCTGTGAGGAAATTCAGTCTCTCTGTGTATTCATGTAGACAGTAGTCTTGGAGGTGGTGTTTCTGAGCTTGCATTTCATGTGGTACACTGTGAACTTCGGGTTCAGTTTCATATTAAGAGGGGCACTGAGATAGTGGCAGTTGCTATTTGAGGTTTCATTTAAATTGGTAATTGTGATAGTTGAGTGGGTAGAGTGTAACAGTGTTGTATACATAGCCTTTTGGTGGCTGTGCTTGATGAATGGTGTTTGATTTTCTTTCAGGCATAAAGACAGTGTTTGCAGGATCCAGTTGCAATGATATTGTCTGCACAGAGCAGTGCGTAATGAGTGGACATTTTGACAAGAAAATTCGTTTCTGGGATATCCGGTATGTCACCCAAAAACTTGGTGGGGGAGCAGACAAAAGTTTGTATGTGGTAGAGTTGTGGGAATGTGTCATAGGTGGGTTATATTTTTTAAATCTCAGGAAATGGCAGAAATGAGCTCTATGACACCAATATCTTAACAGTATGCTCTCTCTCCCTCACCGCAGTGTCAGCCGCTGGGGTTAGCCTTCAGTCGTTGCACATACACCATGGGCAGGCCCCTTGTTGCAGAGATGACAAGATACCAGCCTGTCTTGGGCCATTTGAAATAAAATCCAAGGGACAGATACACAAGTCAGTGAGCAGTGTACCAAAGTAGACATGGCTGCCTCTGTCCAAGGATGTTATGATTAGTCTGGAGAATTGAGAGGATAGCTGAGGCAGGAGGATCACGAGTTCAAAGCCGGCCTCAGCAACTTAGTGAGACCCTGTCTCTAAATAAAATGTAAAAAGTGGGTGGGGTAGGGATGTGGCTCAGTGGTAGAGTGCCCCTGGTTTCAATCCCCTATACAAAAAAAAAAAAAAAAGTAAGTGGGCAGGAAGTGGAGGGCGTGGGTCACTGGGATTGATAGGGTAATACGAGTTGGGATAAATTTCCATAGGCTGTATGAGTTGTTTCCAGACCTCTCAATCCTTTTTTTCTCACCCTATCCTTTTTCATTTTATTTTGAGACAGGGTCTCTCTTTGTTGCCCAGGCTGGCATCTAACTTGCAATCCTCCTGCTTCAGTCTCCCCAGTGGTTAGGATTGTGGGTATGAGACACCACACATGGCTGTATCTTTGTCCTGGAGTCATTAAGTGTTAAGAAAGGACATGATTACTCACAAGACTCTAGTAGATTATTTTGGTGTCATTTGTAGAGGTCATGTTGGAATGCAGGGATATCAAAGAGTTGATGAGGACCTGAATCCAAGGCAGTAGAGGGCAAGATATAAAAGGGCATCTGAAGAGAAATTTGACATTGAAACATGGAATTTTTAGAGTTAAATTGGATAGATGTTGCAAGTCTCCTGGTTCACTCCCTAATTCAACTGTTAAAGATTCCAAAGCAGTAGTGCGGTATGCCTCAAGTCACAGATTTAGCAACAATAAGAAAAACTTCCAAGTTACAGTAGAAAATAATTCATTAGAAGCTTACAAAAATATCACTGTGGAGCTGGGCTTTGTGTGGCACTTGCCTGGAATCCCAGTGACTTGGGAGGCTAAGGTAGAATTGCAAGTTCAAGGCCAGCCTCTTAGATCCTGTCTCAAAAAGTACTGGGATGTGGCTCAGTGGTAAAGCACCCCTGGGTTCAGTCCCCAGTACAAACAAATCAATCACTATGGAGGGGTCAGGACTTCCCTTGGCTGTGGCCTTGTCTACCCAGGGGGCCGTTTACTGACCTGTGTAGACTAGGGCACAGAGGACAGGGGAAACAGCAACAGAGTGCCTAGGGCAGCTATCCTGGAGTTGAAGCCCAAGCCAAACTGAATATGGTAAGATGCCAGTAGGAGACTTCCCAGCCCACTAAAGCAAGGTCTGTGCCACAAGTATATAAAAGCAGAAGTTGTCATTAAAATGGTACTCTTTGGAGCCTGAGGTGCACTTACTGGTAGAGCATGAATTCAGCATGCACGTGAGGCCTTAGGTTTGATCCCAAACACCAAAAAGAAAGGAAAAAGTAATACAAATTGGATACTGGCTGATCAGAAATTCTGATTGCCATGAAAATTCTTCCTAGATTCAGAGTTTTAATACTCAAAACTGCTAGATAAAATCAACAGAGGAGGCCCAATTGTTGGGAAAATAACAAAGTCGTCACTCTGAGCCTGAGAACATGTTGATTGCTATTGGAGCCTGTTGACTTGCAGCACCTTCTCTTCTGTGTGACACAGCATCCTAGTTAAAGTGGAGACGTTCTGACCTTTCTATGTTAGGTTTCTCAGATTTTTCATCTCCCTTAGGTCAGAGAGTGTGGTTCGAGAAATGGAGCTATTGGGGAAGATCACTGCCTTGGATCTAAACCCAGAAAGGACTGAACTTCTGAGCTGTTCCCGTGATGACCTGTTGAAAGTCATTGATCTGCGGACAAATGCCATCAAGCAGACGTTCAGGTAACAGAGTTGAGGGGTGTCTCAGGACCCTGGCCCTGTCTGCTTCTGTCCCACTAGCTGAGCTTTTGGGGTGACAGTGCCTATTGTTTGTTTCAGTGCACCTGGATTCAAGTGCGGCTCTGACTGGACTAGAGTTGTCTTCAGGTTAGTAGCACTGTCCCAACCCAGCTTGGTTAATCTCAGGTTAGCACATGGGGTTTTCCTGCTGGGGAAGTAAATAGAGCTGGATTTGTCCAGTGTGTGAACTAGAGCATGCAGAAGTGAGCCTGAAGATCATTCTGGGGTCACCATCAGTGTCTCTTCCCTTCCTAATGTTCCTTTTGCAGTTGCACAAAGTTAAGTGGATTGTGCCCAAAAATAATGGTTGCTTGGTTCTGGGTGGGCCATCAGATTCCCCTTCCATTACCCACCCATTTATTCCAGCCTGTTGGAGAGCTTTTGGGGATTGGCAAGAAAGCCCTGGAAACTTGGTGGAACTGAGCTGGCACTTGAGAGATGGCATCTCAAGGTGGTCTCTAGTTGCCCTTTCCTCCTGTCTTCTCCCATATACCATGCTACTCCAAATTGTGTGTCCAGGATCATCACCTGTACTCTGGAGAAGCATCTCTACATTTGATGCTTCCTGTTCCTTTTCTACTCTCAACTGAACCATTCAGCAAGCAAATTGGGAACTGTCAGCTGTTTGGAGGTTGGCTTTTGGCCTCCCTATGTGTTTCCTGCGTCTGATAGATGGCTAGGGACTTGAACCCCCAAGAAGCAATGAGGGTGTCCAGAGGAGTAGTTGCATGCTTGCCTTCTGTGAGGAAGCATTACCTCTTGGGAAGAGGGTCTAGGGGATGCTGAGTTGGGATGGGGAGCTAATAACTTTTGTTCTCTGTCTCCTCAGCCCTGATGGCAGTTACGTGGCAGCAGGCTCAGCTGAGGGCTCTCTCTATGTCTGGAGTGTGCTTACAGGGAAAGTGGAGAAGGTTCTTTCAAAACAGCACAGGTATGGCAAACCTGGTCAGCACATACACGCACTTTCCCAAGGTTTGAAAGCAGGATCTGTGACTTCGTTCTAGGGTTCATGTCCTCTTTGAGCTTCAAACTCAGTGGGCCCCTCAAAGGCTGTGGTTGTTGGCCATAGCCGTCAGTACAGCAGACAGAGGAAGTTACTCGAGATGCTCAAAGTAGAGCCATTAAATGGTGGCCATTAGGAAAAGTCGGGGAAACACACTTTCCCTGTCCCCTCTTTCCACTTCTCTCTTCTCCTTACTCTGTTCCTCTCTCTCCCTTTCTTCCTTGAATCGCCCTGTTCCTAAACACTGATTTCTTTCTACCTTATAGGCAGTGCCCAGCTCCCTTTTTTCTTAGCTTTGTCCATCCACCCAAGCCCACTTGCTAGTTATAACAGAGACCCCCTGCCAGGTATGATGGCCCCTCTTCCTCTTGCTTCTCCTCATTTTTCTAGTAAACTTTCAAAAACAGGCCTATAATCCCAGCAATTCCAGAGGCTGAGGCAAGAGGTCACAAATTTGAAGCCAGTCTCAGCTGGCTTAGCTAGACAGTGTCTCAAAAAATAAAAAGGCCTGGGGATGTAGCTCAGCAGTGAGGTGTCTGAGTTCGTGAGTTCAGTCCCTGATATTAAAAAAAAAAAAAAAAAAAAGACAAACCCAGCTTTCTCCAGAATGCCTATCCTCTGGCTGTGCAGGTCTGCTTGCCCCTCAGAGGCTTACTTTGTCTTCTGGTTCACTCACAGCTGAGGCCCAACTGCTAAGGGAGCCAGATTCCGTTTATTCCAGCACTGCTGTGTACAGTGCAGGGAGACTGTCTCCAGCATTCTTTTGCTGTTAATGAGTCACTGCTTGGGTGGGCACACCTAGACTCTGAATGCATGGGGTCTGGTTTGTGGCTGACCGCGGCCCTAACCCCAGTGCTCTCTGGTCTCTCCATGAAGCTCCTCCATCAACGCGGTGGCGTGGTCTCCCTCCGGTGTTCATGTTGTCAGTGTGGACAAAAGCAGCAAAGCTGTGCTGTGGGCACAGCCTTGATGGCCTTTAGGAGAGGCGCAGAGACTCGCACAGCCCTGTCCTGTGGGCACAAGTCCTTCCCGAGAAGAGCTCAAGCCATGTGGCACGGTGGCCTTCCTTGGATGGGAATACTGAAAATATTGACTCTGCTCTCTAATGGCCTGGAAGAACCAACACTGAAACAGCCTGACCCTGCAAATCACCTGGCTGAGGTTCGGGCTCTTGCCCTGTTGGGGTGGGAAACACTACTAGCTCTGATCTTCCATACCTCATTGGGGAGCACAGGGTCCCCACTGGGTCTCCTCACTGGATGACAGTGCCAATGACATCCCACATGTCTGGGTTGGTTCCCAGCTGTGCTTCTCCCATCCTTCCAGCGTCGGTTCTACCTGATGCATACCCCTCGCCTGGAGGTCCTTTGCCCAGTGGACTTGCTCTAAGCATTGGCTTAGAGGAAACCCCAAACACGTGGTCTGGGGTTGTCACAGGGCTCTCGTGATCTCGTCTTATTACTGCTGAAACTTGAGGTCTCTTGACTGGTCTTCAGAACCTTGACTCCCTTCCGCTCAGTTCTTCTACGTATCTACTTTTTGGTCAAGGAATGAATATAAATTTGGTTAAAAATCTCTTTGAGATAGGCAAGGACATGTGCCAACCTTTTCCAGTGAGGCGGGTTTGTGGCAGAGTTGAAGAATGTGCTCCTGTATCACTCTGCAGATGCCCAGAAGGTGGGTGCTTGCCACGTTCACACTGATGACAAAGAATTTAAGACCTCTGATGTATTTGCTCCGAAGCTGGTGGTGGTGACTCCAGCCACTGCCCTCTGCCAGTCCTGCCTGTGCTGACTTCAGAGTTCAGTGCACGAAGCCCAGTCTGGGGAGCATGGCAGTGTAGTGTTCCCTGTTGGGCCATGATGAAGGCTGGGACGTTCATCCTTACCATTTTACCTGTGTAAGATTTTAGTTCTGGTCTGGGTGTCCAGAACACCATGTTTTTATCACATTTTAATTTGCACTTTATTTTATTATTTTTTTTTCCTTCTACACTTGTTCTCTGGACAGTTAGGGACACGAGTGCCAGAGCAGGAGGAGAAAGGAGTGAGGCATCTTTGCTCTGACAGGTATATCGTCTCCATTCTCCGTCCTTTCCCTCCTTGCGTCTTCCTTTTCGGTTTGCCATTCAGAGAACTTGCATTGAGGGGAGTGGAAATTCACAGCCGGGCACATCTTTTATTTATTTATGTATGTTGCCCAACAGAACTTGATTGTAAATTAAAAAAAAAAAGAAAAGAAAAACTGTTATCTTTTCAAATTGACTGGTTTTTCTGGTATTTATTCTTTGTAAATAATGGATAGTACTTTGCCGCTGTGTTTTCTTGTTCATCACATCACCTCATCCCACACATCATCACTCCATATAAAGCATCAATATTCCCGTTTCACATCCTGTGCAAATCTTAACTGACCTGGGTGAGTTTCTTCAGAACTTCATCATTTCTGGTATAGGAGCCAAACATCCTGATCCTCCTGCAGGACACCTTTGTCCACAGGGTGTGTGACCTGATGTGTCTCCTTTGGGCCTTGAGCTGAAGAGGCATGAATTGGGGTTCTAGAGTGACTTACCTGTGGCACCTCAGATACCTAACATGCGGAAGAGCCAACATATGATGTCACCACTCTGAAGGGACACTCAGACAACGTGCATAGGCTTAGCCCCAAAACCTAATCTGGTTCCCACAATCGGGGCTGAAACAGCCAGCCTTGCAAAATTGAATGAGCCCTTGCATTTATTTTCAGAGAGGAAAGTGATTCTGAAAATAGGCCTCTAATAAGCATCGCAGTTTCCTCAGATGACCTTGTTTTTGAGAACTTTGAGGGAAACAGGCAGGGCTGCATTCTGTTTTTCTGTTTGAGCTCCATCCCACTCTGAAAGTTCTTCAGTTCTTTAACTGCCACAGCTGACATAAAAGTGTGGGGTCACACAGCACTGGGGAAAGCAGCTTCTGTTCACCCCGCAGCCTCTGCCTCAGTGCCTGAGGTCTCCTGGTGCCCTCCCACTGCTGCTGCTTCCTCTAGTCCAGGGACCATGCAGAGACATTCCCAGATAATTCCCACGTGCCACCAGCATTCACAGCTGGTTGACTGCTTCCTGGATGTTTGAGCCAGAGTGCCCCTTGTTTGTAAGTGGCTCCTACTACAAGACTTGTTTTGGTCCAGACATTAACATGTTTTAAAAGCTGAGGATTAAAGTTTTCTATGGCTTTATGTTCCCAGATACCTCATATATGTTTGTGTGATGCTGGTGATTGAACTTATGGCCTTGCACATACAAGGCTCTGCCACTGAGCTGCATCCCCATCCCCTGACAATCTTAAACACATACTGTGTATGTGCTGCTCCTTGTCATGTATGCTGCAAAGCCCCTTTTGCATCTCCCCCATCGGGGCACATGGAATTTTGTATGGACACTGGAATAAATAAATGGTTGGAGACCCGTCAGCTGTGAGAGGCAAGGGCAGGTCACCTGGAAACCCCAGATTGCAGTGCACCAGTACATGCAGAGCTACTCTCCTGTCTTGTCATATGTCCTTTGTCACAAATGTAAAGTTGCATGGCCAAGCAAGAGATCCTCATCCTAGAGGGGTGTGTGTGTGTGTATGTTGTGTTGTTTGGGGTAGAGTGGGAGAAGTGCTGGGTTTTTGTTTTGTTTTGGTACCAGGAATTTAACCCAGAGGTAGTTAGTCACTGAGCCACATCCCCAGTCCCCCCTCCCCCCCCCCCTTTTTTTTTTTTTGGTGACAGGACCTCACTATTTTTCTGAGGCTGGCTTTGGATTTAGCAATCCTGCCTCAGCCTCCCACTGAGATTGCTGGGATTACAGGTGTGTACCACCATGCCCAGCATACTCTGACCAGACTTCTGACTCTCAGGTGGGCATGCTGGTGCTGGTCTGCCACTAAGGCCCCAGGGGATGCAGAAGTGAGTCTTTTGGAGGGATAGAGTGAGCTGGCTGTGCCCCTCTACATTGACTTCAGTGTCCCACTTCAGTGTGCCCCATGTATACTAAGAAGCATTTTCATCTAATAAATCTCAGAAATCCCAGGTAAAGTGAAGCATACCTGTATTTACATTGTTACCTGGGGCTGGTGCTATGTGCCCATAAAGTGGGCAGCTGCCTCGCTCCAGCGAAGTGTGATTCTCTGGCCTCGGGGAGCCATGACTTGTTATCCTTCTCTGCTGATTTCTGTTTGTGTCTCTGAATCCTCCGTGGCCTGTTCATTGTAGATATAGTCCTCTACTTGTCTGTGACTATACCTGTGTCCCTCAAGCCCTCCCCCACTTCAGTGACTCTTCCCCTGGGCCATACTGCTCTCATTCTAATAACCCTAGATTGGCAAGTGTGTTCAGTGAGAATCAGGACAGATCCAGAACCTCGGGAGGCATGTGGTTTTGTGAGGAGCTGAGCCTGCTGTACCCATCAGTCTTCTTTTATTGGGTTGGTGGTACTGGGGATTGAACTCAAGGGCATTCAACCACCAAGCTACATCCCCACCATGGCATTTTACCCCCAAGTCTGCCCACATCCCACACTTAAGGACATGAGCTGACCTTGAACTTCTGATCCTTCTTAGTCTCCCAAGTCTTGATTACAGGTGTATGCCACCACACCTAGCTAAAACAATCATTGTTCTGGGAGTCAGCTGGCCTGTTGGGGATAAATGGTTTGGAAGGCATCCACACCCACCTGGCTGTTGATGTGAAGGGTAGCTGTGGGACTGATGACACAGCAAGAAAGCATCAGTGTGTCAGCATTTGTCTTGGGTGTCACTGGCACTGAACCCAGTGTGGGGTACCAAGAGGAATCATGGCACCATCTCAGCAGTCAGCCACAGTGAGATCTACATTCTGCTTTCCAATCAATTGTCTTTTTGTTGTTAATGTCCCACCCCAGGTTTGGTTGACTTTCCTCCGTAAGCATAATTTTCTGTCTTGAGTGGGAAACATTAGCCCTACACATTCCTATATGTTGAACTTTGGGCAGATTTGCTCTGACCCTGGGACACAAGGAGAGCTGTGCATTTGTCCTTAAGCTTCCTTTTATCACAAAACTGGATGAGGAGAGGACAGAGGGTGTGCTGTGGAGTTTTAAACAACAGTGGGGTCAGAAGTCCTGTGGCCCCCAGGGCTACACACTCCTAGGAGACAGGGACCACCATATTCTTAACACTTGAGAGAGTATGTGGCACATAGCTTCTTTAAAGTTTTTATTTAGTAATAGAATTGAATCAGTGAATAACAACAGACCACCATAGCTGAAAGGAAAATAGGAGGTTAACCCCAAGAATAGCGGCGGGCTGTATCTCAGTGGTAGAGCATTCCCCTAGTGTGCGCAAGCCCAGGGTTGGATTCCCAGCACCACAAGATCTAAGCAAGAGAAGGAAGAATGGTAAGTATGGTTTTGTAGAAATTTTGCTCTATTTATACATGTGTATGTACTGGGTCATAATGTTGAAAGTGTATTTTTTATTGTTTTTATGTATATATTGAGTTGAGAGTCACATACCAAACCATTTTAAAGTGAACAATGTATTCATGATGTTCTGTGACCACCACCTCTAATTCCAACCAATAACGGGTATCTGTATTCTTCAATCTTTTTTTCATTTATAAGCAGTGATATAAAGAAAAGTGGGGATCTGCATCCAGAAAAAGGCCTATCTGCCTAATTTGGGGCACCTTCTCAGGGGGTGTACAATCCTGAAGCCTGTCCGCAGATTCTGTTGAGATGGCCTTGTCATCTCGTAACCCATTCATGTTGGGGCCCCTTGGACAACACTGCAGGGAGAAGCAGCACCTGGCAGAGGTCAGCCTCCCGCTGGGGGGACAGGGGAAGTCCTGGTCAGGATCTCTACTCCACACCACACAGGGCTTCTCTGCCTTAAGGGACTCACCTATACCTTCCATGAATCTTCCCAAAACAGAGCAGGCCGTGGGGTACCGGGTTACAGATGAAGGAAAGGAAGTAGCAGTGGGACCCAGCTGCTCTGCAGGTCATAGGGGCTCATCGGTGGCCATGCAGCCCAGGACTCCAGGCTGAGGCTACCTATACAACCTGCCATTATTACATGGAAAGTGGAGAGTTAAATACCATTCCCAGCATGACGCCTAGAGAGTGATGGCCGTGATTTCCCAATACGGAAGAGCATTCACCTTGCTGGGGGGTTACAAAGAAGATCCAGGTAAGGGCTGGAAAACAAAGTGAAGGTCCCTTGATGGCCCCTGGGATTGCATTTATGATTTTAGATATTATTAGCCCAGCCCCAAACAGCTCTCTCTTCTTTAGATGGATGGACCAAAAGATATGTGTTGGAATCAACATGGTGGCCTTTACAAGCTCCAATTCCCTGGCATGGTTCACCAATACCAGGTGTTCTCTGCTCAGTAAAACTAAGGCAATGAGGACATGATTTTCATTTGGGGGTTGATGTTTAGCAGAGTGTGCCCATTTTCCTTGAGCATGTATCCTAATAAGCCCTTAAGATGACAAGCTAACCCCAAAGCCCATAAGCTGCTTAGCTGAGTGTCCCCACTACCTGCCGCCCCTGCCCTGTGAGCTGCAGCTGTGGGAGATGAAGCCCAAGCTTGAAGATTCATGTCACCATAGAACACTCCATAGAAATGAGTATTGCTGCGGGCAGTGCTTCTCCATCTTTGGGAATTCATAGCCCAGTGAACTTCAAAAAGAAATCTAGGGGAAGGTTGCCAGCTTTGTATTTTTGCCAAGTAAGGACTTTTTTTCTAAATGACTGTGTTCTCCCGCTATTTTCTAAAAAGAAAGGACTTTTTTGTCCTTCCACTTAGGACCTGCATTCTGAAATATTATGGCTAAAGTGTCATGATGTTGCATTTACTTTCAAGTGGTTAAAAAGGAAAAAGAGTAGAGCTGGACATAGACACATAGAAAGTTGTTAGTTGTCAAGTCTCAGTGTTGACGGTGCAGGTGTTTATTGTATCTTTTTCTTTGAGTTCTAAAATTTCATAATAAAATACTAGAATGCAGAATCAATAACAGAAGGCTGATCTGTTTGCCAGGGGCTGCAGGGTCAGTGGAAGGGTTGACGGAAGTGAGTATCAGGTCCCTTTGGGAGTGATGGGCTAATGACCTCATGATCTTAAGATAAGGGGCAGTCTTTTATATTGAATATGTTGGCTCTTCAAAAAAAACTCACAAGAGCCAGAACAGCGGCTCATACCTGTAATCTCAGTCACTAGGGAGGCTGAGGCAGGAGGGTGGCAAATTCAAGACTAACCTCAGCGAACTAGCAAAGCCCTATCTCAAAAAATAAAAAAAAGAGGGCTGGGGATGTGACTCGGTAGTAAAGTGCCCCTGAGTTCAATCTTCAGTACCAAAAACAGAAACAAAAAAAAATTCCATGAGTGCCCTCATTTTTCTCATTTCTCCCCCAAGAAAATAAAAATTCATCACAGACCAGGGGTTGGGAATAACATTTCCAAAAAAGAGTAAGAGTAGAGTGCTTACCAAGCCTGTGTGAGGCTTGGGGGTTCCTTCCCCAGTAGCACACACACAAGATTTCTTCACGATGAACCCAACTACTATGTATAACTATGTAATAAAAAATTATTTATTTTTGTGTGTTCCTGGGGATTGAACTCAGGGCCTCATGCATGTTAGGCAGATACTCTATCACTGAGCCACATCTCCAACCCTTAATTAATTAATTAAAAAGGCAGGACTAGTTGGGTTAGGTGGCACGTGCCTGAAATTCTAGCGGCTCAGGAGGCTGAGGCAGGGGGATCACAAGTTGAAAGCCAGCCTCAGCAAAAGCAAGGACTAAGACTCTGTCTCTAAATAAAATACATAGTAGGGCTGGGGATGTGGGTCAGTGGTTGAGTTCAATCCCCGGCACTCCCCTACAATATGCAGGACTAATACATTCAGAGTTTCTCAGATGGCATTTTTCTTGTATTATTCCTTTTTATGTGTGTGCTTTTTTTTTTTGCTTAAAATTTTTTTTTACTTGTTCTTTTTAGTTATACATGACAGTAGAATGTATTTTGACATTATACTACATGGAATATAAATTTCCATTCTTGGGGTTGTACATGATGTGGAGTTTCACTGGTTGTGTATTCATATATGAACATAGGAAAGTTATGTCTGATTCATTCCACTGTCTTTCCTATTTTTAGTATGTATTTATATGTGTGTGTATGTATACTTATACATACACACATATATAAATATATATAAATAAATAAATAAATATATATATAAATAAATATATATTTTAATTTTTTTTTTTTTTACTGGGGATTGAACTCAGGGGTACTTGACCATTGAACCACATACCCAGCCCTGTTTATTATATTTTATTTAGAGACAATGTCTCACTGAGTTGCTTAGCACCTCACTTTTGCTGAAGCTGGCTTTGAACTCACAATCCTTCTGTCTCAGCCTCCTGAGCCTCTGGGATTACAGGTGTGCGCCACTGCGCCCAGCTGTTCAAAGTATATTGAAGTCCCTGTTCTACATGCAGGAGACAGAATGGGTACAAAATAATCAGAAATCTCTCTGCATTCCTGGAACTTACATTCCAGTAAGGAGGGGCAATGAACAATAAGCCAGGTAAACCAGAAAACCACCTTGTATGTTGGATGATAATAAATGCTATCCAGTAGCATAGTAAAGTGTAGTAAAAGAGAAATTTGGGGTGAATTGAGTTGGTTTGCAATGGGATATATAATAAACAGGGCAAAGTGCAAGTAAAGACAAAGGAATGAAGGGAGTAAGTCATGTGCCTGTCTGTGGAAAGAGGAAACTGGAAGTGCAAAGGCCCTGAAGGTTTAAACTTCAGGTTTAAAGAAAAGCAGAGAGGCCAGTGTACTAGAACAAGGGGGAGGAGAGAGTGGTGAGGAATGAGATCAGAGGTGCTGGAGAGGGGTGGGGAATTCATGTAGGATTTAGATGGCATTTAGATTTAAATGGGAAGCCACCAGAGTGTTTGGATTGATGCTAATACTCCAAAGTCACAATAGGCCTCTGCTTATACTTGCTTCATTCCTGGACACCAGGTCACATCTACTACATAAGTATGTGTTTTGGTTTGGATGTGAGGTGTCCCCAAAACCTTCTGTATTAATGCAGGAATGTTTAGAGGTGAATGATTGGACTTTGAGAGCTGGAACCTAATCACTCCATCCTAGTTTGGATGATCTGGGCAGTAACTATTGGCGGGAGGAGGTGTCATGCCCTGGAAGGGGACATCTTCCCTGTGGCCTCTAGCCGAGTCCTGGAGGTCGGGAGGGCTTCCCTGAGTAAGTGATTCCTGGTCAAAATCTGAAGGGTAGAGAAGAGAGAATTGTCTTGGGAAAAAAGGGCAGTGGGCTGGAGCAGTGGGGGGCAACCCTGTTGGACCAGGCGGAGGCTGGGGCTGCTCTAAGAACTTTGCCTGAGAGCAGTGGGACATCCTCAGTGGCAGGTGACAGGTCAGGGCTGGGAAGGCCCCTTGCTCCATGTGGAGAAGGCCTGAATGGTAGGAATGGATGTCATCAGATGGCATAGTCATTAAGGTCCCTGGAAGCCAAAGCGGCAGTGAGGACCCCCTGCAGGTGCTGGGCTGGGAAGATGTGGGCAGAGATGCAGGGGAAGACAAACTGGACCCCTGGTATAATCAGCAGGACCCCGGCTGGAGGAGAGGGCCCTAGTCAGTGTGGCCAGCACAACACCAGGTTCACCTTGACCTTTCCCCTTGACCTTTCCGATTACATAATGCCTGCTGAGTTAATCATATTTGTCATTGCACTTGAAAATCTTGTCTTGATGATGCTAAGGAGCAAAGGGATAAGCAGTCTATTTTCAGAACCCAAAGAGGTTTAGGATAAAAAGTAGCTTTCAGTTTGCTGCTGTTCTTCCCCCATGTGAGCTGGACAGCGATGCAGCCGCAGGACCCCCTGTGAGGAGATGGGGCCTCAGCTAATGCTTAGAATTGCTGATGCTGCGGTTTGCCATCTCAACCTAATCCAATTTCCACTCTGCTCCTTAGATGGGATTTGGCTTTTAGACACTGAGACCTGGGTGCTGGGCATCCTCACCAGATCCCCTACAAATTCCCCACACACATCAGCCAGGGGCTGGCCTGTGACTTGCAGGGTCATCTGGTAGGACAGCACCAGCTGGCTCAAGCAGGGGCTGGCTGCCCATCGTCCCAGGACATAGGGACCCTCTCCTGACTCCTTCAGGCATCCCATCTTGTTGGTGATAAATCGCAAGGTATGTGACCACCACAACCCAAGCCTTCTCAGAACCCCTGGGCAGGCACAGGGAGAAGCAAGGAAGGGCATTTTTACCTAGATTGTCCCAGTGTGGTTTCCATAGGCTTTTGCTTGTGAAGGAGACTTGGAGAGCATTGAACTCCAGACCACTATGATGGCCTCTGGAACAGGTGGCAGACTGTGGGAAGGCAAGCCCTGCCTGCTAGCAACCACTGGGTGGGACTTTGGGGATTTTTTCATATGTCCTTGAAAACTGCTTTTATGAAGTGGTTTTGTGGTGGATTTCAAGAACCTTTTCTATTTATTTGCTATAAGACACAGTCATGATAGAATTTTAGATTCAACCTGGCTAAGTGTAACGACACCAAAGATCAATCCGAAAAGCAAAACTTTCTCACTGGAATCTAGCTGCACTTCCCAGTAAGCTACCAAGAAATGTTTAAGGCTTACCAAGAAAAGTAAAACCCACTTAAAACACACACACACACACACACACACATGCATCCTGCAATGAAATATAAACTAAGCAAAGACCTTATTTTGCCAGGCCTAGGTGTGGGAGCAGGTAGAGGAAATGTCCAGTGGATATGAGCATCTCATGAGTAGGTTGTTCAATCAGGATGTTCCTGAGTGTCTGGTCAGGAGTGTTTTACCTTTTCCCAGCCCTCCAGCACCTGACGCACAGCCCAAGGTGGAAGGAGTTGCCAGCAATATACAACATGGCAGCCAGTGCTAAGACCAGTAAGTCCCATGTCATCTTCAAGAAGGTCTCCCGGGATAAATCGGTAAGTGGCACAGAAGTGAGTGACTTCATGGAAATTACTGTAAAGTAATAATAAATGGAGATTTTCTGAGTGTAGATACGATCAACAGCAAAACTCTGTGCGGTGCGGGGAAGCTCCATGGCTATTTTCCATCTCTGTCCAGGATGGTCAGTCGAGGGGACTCACAGGAAGGAGTGAAGTGCAGAAACACAGCTTCTCTCCAGCCTCACTGGGACTTCAGGCCTGCCACCTCCGTGTTCTAATCTCACTCTCCACAGCATCACCCCAACTTCACTGCTTTTCCTGGCCATCCTTGAACCCATGACTTACCATCTCAAACACTGTTTAGTCGATACCTGTGACTCCCATGGCCCGTGATCAGTCATGTCACCTGCCTGGGAGAGTCCAGACTGTGGATGAATGTGAAGTGTTCCTTATTTGCATCTGTTCCACAACCACGAATCACATCCCAGCTGGATCTTAAGAGCCACTGATGTGGAAAAGGCCCCTTTTGCTCCCATTCCACCATTCTCCACTGTGGCTGACAGCCACCAATAACCTGGCCTACTTAGCAGAGATGATGCCCTTCAGGGACCCATTGGATGGTCTAGGTGTTCCCATGAACTTCCTGTCATGGGGACCTGATGGAGGGCCCCGACCCAGCCTCTGAATGGGCTCCTTCTGGGTCAGCAGCCTAACTCAGCAATGTTCAATGCAAGTAATATATGTAATTATAATACTCTAGTAGCCACATTAAAAAATTAAGAGGAACTGGGTGTGGTGGTACATGCCTGTAATCCCAGCAGCTTGGGAGGCTGAGGCAGGAGGATTGTGACCCTGTGTCAAAATAAAAAATAAAATAAAAAGGACTGGGGATGTGGCTCAGTGGTTAAGCACCCATGGGTTCAATTTTGTGGTACCAAAAAAAAAGGAAGGAAAAGAAAAACCTAAGAGAAATTAAGAATTTAATACTTTTTTTGCAGGGGTGGGGGTGGTACCAGGGATTGAGCTCAGGAGCATTCAATCACTGAACCACATCTGCAGCCCTATTTTGTATTTTATTTAGAAACAGGATCTCACTGAGTTGCTTAGTGCCTCATTTTGCTCAGGCTAGCTTTGAACTCGTGATTCTCCTGCCTCAGCCTCCTGGGCTACTGGGATTACAGGCTTGTACCACTGCGCCCGGCTGAATTTAATACTTTTAATACTCTTCATTTCACCCAATATATCCAAAGAACTATCATTTCAACACATAAACAATATAAAATTACCAACAATGTATTTTATATTCTTTGCTAAGATGTTGAAATGTGTCATGTGTCTTACATTTGCAGCAAAGGTCAATTGCAATGGCTGTATCACAGATGACCAGAAGCCACCTGGATCTACTGGCTGCTGAACTGGACACTGTGAATCTAGCTCCTTCTATCTGATTTCTGCCACCCACACTGGGCTTGACAGAAACTCTTCAGTGCTTATTGTGCCCACAGCCTTGTCCTGCCTTCTCCTCTCCCAGTTCATTGCCTTCATTAAGTACTCCAATTCTTAGGAGTGATCACTTGGGTGCCCTTCAAATTTTGATCCGCCAAACTCTTTCCCTGTTTGTGTCCATCTGTGATCTCAGCTTCTGGCAGGACAGGAAAGAAACCACGTCTCTAGTTTTCCTTGTCATTTTCCCACTTTCCCCTCCTCATACTTACGTAAAATCCTTTGGATCAAGAAATTTATTTTTCTATATTGGTAGCCACAGGGGGAAAAAAGAGAATTGTTAAATTAATATTGCACATGTTAGGATCATTTTATTGAGACCCAGGGGGCAAGTAGCAGTGACCTCAAAAGGAAGCACTGAAGGGAAGGGGAGGGACGAGAGCAGGTAGAGGAGTGGGGTGACATGATGTGAGACTGTAGCAATCTGCTGGGTGCCCACACTATGGTCATGTGCCTCTTCTTCCTGGGTAAAAATTGCCAATGGTCTTCAGGGTCTACCAGACCTTGTGAAGCAGTGGCTAGAGGCGGTCCCAGGGAATGAATCTTGATTATTCTGATCTAATTCTAACCATCTCATTCCTTAGCTCCTTGTTGGTTTAGAGTAGTCAGGTGACTGAGTTTCAACCAATGAAGATGAGAGGGGAGTCTGCTGAAGAGACCCTGGGAAAGATTTCCTGGCTCTTTTTAAGAGACTCCAAGAAGGGCTGGGGACCCAGCTCCCTCCCCTGTGCTCTCCAACCCTCCCTCCTCCCAGCCACAAACAGGCTTCCTCCCCAGCTGCCCTTGATCAATCACTCACTGTCCTGCCAATATGATCTCGGTCTAGGACACCCCCTGTAAGACAGGCTCATTCTCACAGAGTTGCGAGAATGAAACCAAAGAGCACCTTCAGGGTGGACACCTGATTTTTTTTGGGGGGGTGGGTACTGGGAATTGAACCCATAGGGCTTCACCACCGAGTCACATCCCCAGCCGTTTTTATTTATTTATTTGTTTATTTTGAGAAAGGGTCTCACTAGGTTGTTCAGGGTGTGGCTGAGTTGCTGAGGCTGGCTTTGAACTTGTCCTCTTGCCTCAGCCTTCCCAGTTGTTGGGATTACAGGCATGCACTACTGGGCTAGACTCTTTATAGAGTCTTTAGGCTCAGATCTTTTTTTTGAGTTGTAGTTGGACACAATACCTTTATTCAACTTATTTATTTATTTATTTTTTATGTGGTGCTGAGGATCAAACCCAGGGCCTCCCAGGTGCTGGGTGAGCTCTCTACCGCTGAGCCTCAGCCCCAGCCCCAAGGCTCAGATCTCAACAGCCTTTTCTGGCATTACCCCCATTTGGTGGCCATTTACCACAGAGGAAGGCCTGGCAGTTCCAGAAGCAACCTCTCCTCTGGGCCTTGCAATGTTGGTCTATTTTGCCGAGATAGCCACACTCAGCATCACTATCACTGGGCGGTGCTGTCTGTCCTTCAGCGTCCCAGCAGGTAGAGCCTCCTCTGAAAGGAAGAGCTTCACTCTCTTCTTCCCTCCTCTCCCCTCCCCACCCCCTACCTCTGCACTGGCACTTGGCCCAAACAGAAGGACAGGGACCTGGAGGGTCTTTATCTCCAGTGCCAGCAGCACAGGTAGGATTTCCATAACCAAGCATGTGGGAAGAGTGAAAGAAGAGCTCACCTCATTCATGGAGCTTAAAGTGCTTCACACTGGAGCTGGGGGGTTCCTACTGAATCTTCTCTGCAAACAATAGTGCTTTCAACGTCAGTCATGCTAGTAACCTCAAAGGCATAGGGACCCACTTCTGATACACTGCAGAGGAAAAGTACAGCACAAGACTTAATGCCAAGGAAAATGATCTAGATGTTCTTGGAAGTGAAAATTTGCATTGGAGAGGCTCGGGGAGGGGGATGTGCGCTCACTCCCTGATGCGCTGGCATCGCTCACCAGCCCTCTGTGCATCAGAGGCTGAAGTAGGTCTGTTGAGGGAACACAGCCCCTGCTCTCACACAGATCTGTCAAAAAGACCTTGGCTGTCAGGGGCATGCGATGGGCAGGACCAGGGAAGAGACCACGGCTGTCTTCTCCCACCCAGCTCCACCCCTTCCTTCCTCAGAGTGTGGGTTTAGGTTTCCCTGTCCAGAAGTTTTCCTAGTAGGATTTCAGGGACTCCTCTGGAGCTCCTACCTCTCTGCACAGTCCATAAATTCTTTGAACACAGAAGTGAGATGTTTCAGTCCACAGCTAGAAATAGAAGCCTTCCCATGCAAACAGGTGGCAGGAGACCCATTGACATAGGTATAACTTTCTACTAAAGTATGAATTGACAAGTTACCTGGTTGATATCAGACCTGGTTTTGATGGGGAAAAGGAGGTGAGGAAAGGAGTGGGAAGAATTCCCACCATCCAAAAGGGCAAGAAAAATGCTTGGAGCTGGTGCAGGAGACTGGATGGAGCACACCTTGCCTGAAACCCCGTTTTTGCCCACAGCCCAGCCAGTGGTGAAGAAGGCCTTGAGGAGCTGCAGAGCCAAGTGGCTCATCTTTTCAAGACTAATGAAAAGATTTGATGGTTGTCAATTTGCCATTTAGAATGTACACTTGTTCTTCTTGCAGGTGACCATCTACCTGGGAAAGAGAGACTATATAGACCATGTCAGTCAAGTAGAGCCTGTAGGTAAGTGGAAAGGTATTGTGTGTGTGTGTGTGTGTGTGTGGTGCTGGGGATTGGAACCCAGGGCCTTGTTCATGCAAGATAAGCACTCTACCAATTGAGCTATAACCCCAGCAAGTTGGAATAAAATTTAAAATTTGTTTTCCTTTATGTCATCAGATAACTTCCTGTTTTGTATTTTTAATAATCTAAGTAAAGAATTAATAATTAAAATATCAGGGAAGTGCCACTGGCTGACTGGAAACAATGTTTCCAGTGTGCAAGGAGATGAAGGGACTCATTTCTACAATATACAAGGAATGCTCAGAACTCAACAGTAAACAAAAAGCATCCAATTAAAAAATGAGCAGGAGATAGACATTTAAAAAACAAAGATATTGATAGTAAGCATTTGAAAACTCAGCATCATTAGTCATGGGGGAAATACAAATTAAAGCCACACTGAGATGTCATTGCATGCCTATCAAAATGGCTAAGATGGCAACCCATACTTGAAATACCAGCAACTCAGGAGACTGAGACAGAAAGATCCAAGCTTGAGGCCAGCCTGGACAACTTAGTGAGATCCTATCTCAAAAATAAAATAAAAAGGGCTGAGGATGTAGCTCAGAGGTAGAATGCAGAATGCTTTTGGGTTTTATCCCCAGTACCATAAAGAGGAGGGGGGAATACCAAATGCTAATGAGGGCACAGCGAAACCTGATCGCTTCTAGAGGTTGGTGGTGGGAATGTAAAGTAGTCCAGCCTCTCTGGCAGCAGTTGGATAGTTTCTTTAAAAACCAAACATAAAGCTGAGCACGGTGGTACACACCTATAATCCAGTAGCTCAGGAGGCTGAGGCAAGAGGGTCTTGAGTTCAAAAGCCAGCCTCAGCAACTTAGCAAGGCCCTAAGCAACTTAGTGGGAGGCTCTCTCTAAATGAAAAAAAATTAAAAGGGCTGGTGATGTGGCTCAGTGGTTAAGCACGTCTGGGTTCCATCTCCAGTACCAAAAGAAAGCAAAATATAAAAAAATAAACATGTACTTCCCATCTGACCCAACGGTTGCATTCCTAGGCATTTATCCCACAGAAATGAAAACTTAGGGTGCTGGGATTGTGGCTCAGTGGTAGAGCACTCACCTAGCACGTGCAAGGCTCTGGGTTCGATCCTTAGCACCACATAACAATAAATAAAATAAAGGCATTGTGTCCAACTATAACTTAAAAAATATTTAAAAAAAAAGAAATGAAAACTTAGGTTCACATAAAATTTTTTAGGGCATGATTGTTCCTAGCAGGTTTTAAATCTCCAAACTGAAAGAACCAAAATCTCTCAGTAAATGAGGTTCAATAAAGTGAGATCCATTTGTGCCACGGAGTACACAGTAAAAAGAATGAGCTATTGAATAATGGTGGAATGAGTTAAACATCATTACCCTAAGTACATGTATAAGGCACAAATGGTGTGAAAATACTTTGTGTACAATCAGTGTTTTGAAAAATTGTGCTCTATATGTGTAATATGAAATGAATTGCATTCTGCCATCATGTATAACAAATCAGAATTTTTAAAAAAATGAGCTATTGATACCCTTGAAACTCAGAAGCCTTGAGGATGATTCAGTGAGTGGAAGAGGCCAGTCCCAAAGGACCACATGCTGTAGATTCCATTTATACAATGTTCTCAAGATGATAAAATTATAGTGAAGGTAGCTGCCAGGGGCTGAGGATGGTGCGGGTAGGGGATGGTGGGACCACAAGGGTAGCCAAGGGGGTCTTTACGGTGATGGGACAGTTCTCCATTTGGACTCTGTGGTGGTTAGACAAAGCTCCGCAAGTGTTAACATAACATAGATCTATGTACACACCTGGTATCCTGGTGGGCTTCCTGCTACTGTGCTGTAATCATATAAGGTTTAACACCATTGGGGGATGTAGGATAAAGGATACTGGGCATCTCTCTGTGAATCTGTAATTATTTCAACATAAAAAGTTGAAAAAGATGGGCTGGGGATGTGGCTCAAGTGGTAGCGCGCTCACCTGGCATGCGTGCGGCCCGGGTTCGATCCTCAGCACCACATACAAAACAGAGATGTTGTGTCCGCTGATAACTAAAAAATAAATATTAAAAAAATTTAAAAAAAATATATAAAAAAAAAAAAAAGTTGAAAAAGAATCCAGGCACAGTAGTCATGACTGTAATCCAGCAACTCACAAGGCTGAGACAGGAGGATTATAAGTCCAGGCCAGCCTGGGCAATTTAACAAGACCCTACCTCAACAAATAAAAAGGACTTGGGATGTAGCTCAGTGGTAGAGAACCCTGGGTTCAATCCCCAGTACCAAAAAAAAAAAAAAAAAAAAGAAAGTATCTTCTGCTCTCCTCATCTAACCCTTGCTGTTCTCTCTCTTGGTCTAGATGGTGTGATATTGGTAGATCCGGAGCTTGTGAAGGGAAAGAAAGGTGAGCAGAGACCTTGTCCTCTGGGCTGTAAAGGTCAAGGCTCCCAGCTGGCTCTGGGAAAGAGGCATTTGTGTGGGGAAACCACGCCTGCTAGAGGCAGGAATAAAACCCAAAATTTATTTTTATGCGTTCTTGCAATGATTCTGAACCACAGTGTCATGGTGCCCTTGAGATTTCTGTAGTTGAGATGTGTGTGGCAAGCCATTTATTACTAATGACTGTTGCATAAACTGAATCAGAACAGATTCAGCTTATGCTGTGAGAAAGTCGCTGACTCAGTTCCATTCTAAATATGTGGTTGCTACTGGCAAACGCAAGGCCTTATTGTAAACCTGGGATGTGCCCACAAGCATGACAGGTATGGGCCATTAGCAGCGATGGGGATATGGCAAGAATGGAGCAGAAAAATGTCCTGCTCTGCCATCTCTACCTTCCTGCCATGTGGAGCCTTGCCAGCCCATGCCCTTGGCCACAGAAGGTTGCCTTATGTCAAGGAAAGCCACTGCCTGGCGACAGCAGGCATAAAACTAGGTCCTCTGGGCATTTTGCTTGATTACTAACTTTGAAGGTGGACTGGGCAGGTGGTCAGTAGATTCTCTGAGCCAGCAACTAGGGCAGTTGCCCTTATTGCTGACACAGACGAATCCTTAAGCAACAGCTTCTGAGGGCCTAGAGGGGCCACTTCTGTTATGCCTTACACTCAACAACTGTGGGCTTTGTGTCTTTTTCAAAAAATGCCTCCTGAACTTCCACATGATTCTTTTGGTCCACTGGGATCACAACTTTAATCAAATGGAATTTTCTAAAGGGGTGATTTAGAGAATGCTTTATAAGTTTCAGAGCGATGTGCAAAGAAGGCTCTAACTGGAGACTTTTGAGGTTGGTTTCATCTTCCTGCTTGGCCAAAGGCCCCTCCGGCCCCTCCGGTCCCTCCCTCAGCCCTGTCTGGTGGCAGCTCACATCCTTTCACTTTCCCTCTGCCTTTTACCTTCACCCTTAACTCTGTCCAGCATCCTGAACCTCCAGGCCCAAGCAAGTAGCACTGTCTTAAAGTTCCCCAAGTAGCTTGAGCTGGCGGGCACAGTGGCGAGGGGTGGGATGGAGAGACAGCGGGCTCAGGTGGACAGTGCCAGGTCCTTGGTCCACAGATATCTACCATCCTGGCAAAATAATGGGGTTGCCAGAGAGATGTTTCCCAATCCTCTGACAGTCCCCTTAGGGTCATGAAATTTAACTCCCAGGAAGGTACTGATTCTCTCCAAATATGTGCACCAGCTGGGAAGTACATTTTTCTCAGATCCATTCCTTTCCAGACATGAAAGTCTGGGGCCAATGGTGTGGTGTGGTCACCCTGCTGCCCACTTATCCCAGTAAGGATGGCATCAGGCTGTTGGGGGCACGTCCAATGAACCAAGCTCATCCCTATCTGTCTCTTCTTCCTAGTGTTTGTCTCTCTGACCTGCGCCTTCCGCTATGGCCAGGATGACATCGATGTGATAGGCCTGACCTTCCGCAGGGACCTGTACTTCTCTCGGGTCCAGGTGTACCCTCCAGTGGGGGCTGCAAGTGCCCCTACGCAGCTACAGGAGAGCCTGCTCAAGAAGCTGGGGGGCAACACTTACCCCTTCCTGCTCACGGTGAGTGCTCCTGACCCCTGGCTGGCCGCCTTTATCTATGGCTCCTCATAATGGGAATGAGCAACAGGAAGGGAACAAAAGAAGGGCTTTGTGTCTTCAGGCCTGTAAATTGCACCCTTGAAAGAAATTCTAGATTGCATGGTCTTTGATAGTCTTTTTTTTTTTTTTTCCAAATTCTTGAAAATAGCCTCCTGCCTTTGAAGGCACCATTTCAACCTGCCCTTTAGATATTTCCTTTGTCTGACTGCCCAATTAGATGAGTTCATGCTCTTGCTCCGCTTATTCAGCTATAACAACAAATCTGCAGAAGTTTCCCTGGGCTGGCCTGGGGTGTTCTTTGCAGGAAAGTTTCCCAAAGGACAGGTGAGCCTAGTGGAATAAGAAACCATCTTTAGCCTTGCCCATATCTTGGTGGCTTATGTAACTTTAACCTGTCACCTCTCTTGAGGCCCATATCTCACCAGTGACCCTGCCTCTCAGGGTGCCAGTGCCCGGCAATGCAGGCAGTGTGGATGGGAGCTCTGTGAGGGAAAGCTTCTGCCAACCTTCTTCCTTGATGCTTGTCTGTTGTGATCATAGTCTCCTCCAGAGTGATATGGCTCAGCCTGATATGGCCCTGCCTCAAGCTCCAGTGTGGACAGCCTCGAGCCACTCTCAGAAAGAAGCCAGACACGGAAGCTTCTTTCATGTTATCATGTGGTTCCATTTACGTGAGGCAACAGGAATAGTCATTTAGACAGAAAATAGGAGAATGGCCCTGGAGGTGGAGTGGGGGACCAGGGGAGGGGAGAAATGGGCAATTAGTGTCCAGTGAGTAAGGAGCTTCTGGTTGAGATGATGAGAAAGTTCTAGAGAAGGATGGTGGTTGTTATGTGAATGTGTTTAATGCCAGTGAACTGTTACTTTTTTTTTTTTTTTTTTAGTTGTAGTTGGAAATAATACCTTTATTTATTTATCATGTGGTGCTGAGGATCGAACCCAGGGCCTTGCACATGCTAGGCGAGTGCTCTACTGCTGAGCCACAACCCCAGCCTAAACTGTTCATTTAAAATCGTTAAAATGGTAACTTTTATATTCTTCTATTTAACCACAATTGTTTTACAAAATCTCTATTAAGCCAGGCATAATGGCACACACCTGTAATCCCAGTGGCTTCAGAGGCTGAGACAGGAGGATCCTGAGTTCAAAGCCAGCCTTAGCAAAGGCGAGGTGCTAAGCAACTCAGAGAGACCCTGTCTCTAAATAAAATACAAAATAGGGCTGAGGATGTGGCTCAGTGGTCAAGTGCCTCTGAGTTCAATCCTTAGTACAAAAAAAAAAAGTGATTTCAGATTGATACTTCCCTTTCTTACAATGCAACATATGGAATTAATTGGCTCAAATGGTGTTGAAATGTACAAAGAAGAATATTTATTGCAGCATTGTTTATAATGGCAAAAAAGTAAACACCATTTTCCAGGCGCAGTGGTGCATGCCTATAACCCCAGCAGCTCGGGAGGCTGAGGCAGAAGGATCTGGAGTTCAAAGCCAGCCTCAGCAACAAGGAGGCACTAAGCAACTCAATGAGACCTAGTCTCTAAATAAAATACAAAATAGTGATCAGGATGTGGCTCAGTGGTCAGTGTCCCTGAGTTCAATCCCTGGTACCCCCAAACAAAACAGTAGAGACCATTTAGGTATCCAGTGAAGTGGGTTGGCTGCATTAAGTGCACGTTATAGAAACTCTAAAATGGTGGTGCCAGACAGGGTTTCACCACACGGGAATGGTCTGAAAGCTTTCTGATTCCGGGGGTGGTAACGAAGTGAGGGAGCAGAAGCGTGTTCAACATTGCGCCATTTCCACGAACACTTACACCTGAGCACACACTTGCGCATGTGTCTGCCCCAGAGCTTCTGGATCGACGCTAACCTGGATGCCAGGTGTGTGGTGGAACAGGCTCTCTTATTTCTTGCTCATCTTCTTCCTTTTCCCACTTCATGTGATGATTCTGTGTCACACCTTAAATACCCCCTTGGAAAGAAGTGATTTTTTTGTTTGTTTCTTTCCAGTTTCCTGACTCCTTGCCCTGCTCAGTGATGTTGCAGCCAGCTCCACAAGATGCAGGGAAGGTGAGTTAACCAAAACACGCCGTGGGTCCTTCCTTCCCTCAATGCACTGTGTGTGTGTGTGTGTGTGCGCACGCGTGCATGCCCACCTGCGCTTGGATATTTAAACAGTGGAAGTTTGTGTGCTGGACACCCAGAATCAAGGGGTACCCAGGGCCATGCTCCCTCTGAAGCCTGTTGAGGAACCCTTCCCTGTCTCCTCCCGGCTCTGTGGCTAGCTGGCCTTCCCTGGCTGCTGATCATCACTACAGTCCTTGCCTCCATGTGACATTCTCTCTTTGCATCCTTTTCTCTCTGAGTCCCTTCAATAGGCTTTTAAATGTAGCTTTTTATCATGGAAAATTTCAAACATACTCCAAAGAAGAGAGGCCAGGATAAGACCCCTGTGAACCTGTCACTCTCCTCAGCAACTGTTAGCCAGGGACATCCTGGTGAACAGGAGACCTGGCCCTCCTGGATTCACTTGTTAATGCAGAGTAACAGACAACAGTACCCACAGGGCACATCAAGGCCACAGGCACTGTGGGAGCCCCATGCTGGTGAAAGGCGAGGGAGGATGCCATGGGAGGTTTGTTCAGCAGGCTTAGGGAGGTCCTCTGGTAAGGTAAGGAGCAAGCCACACTCCCAGGCAGAGGGGCACCACGTGCTAAGTGAGAAGGGCTGGAGCCGGGAAGAAAGCCAAGATCAGAATGGAAAAAAAAAGTGTGGCCAGATCTCCTCAAAGGGCCTGGTGGATGATCTAGGGACTTGGGACGGCAGGCTCTGGACGGCAGGTCTGGCTTAGGTTTCCAAAGTGTCACTGTGGCTACTACGTTGAGAATGAGGCTGGGCTTGGCATGTGTCATGAAGAGAAAAAGAAGCAAAGCCGGGGTGGTGATGGGGGTGACCAGGGATTACAGGCACAGAGGAGGGGCAAAGACCCCTGGATGCTGAGTTCTCAGTGTCCTAAGATGTGACGGTGACTGCAGGTCTGTACCTGCACAGTGGAGGAGGACACGCTGGACAGTGTTTATCAATATGGGATTCTTATGGTTGATGGTTCCAAAATGGAATCCAGTTTTAAAGAATGGATGGAACAGAACAGAGGAGAATGGAGGAAGGGGAAATCCCAGTGCATCACACAGCAAGACTGAATTATCACATACTAAGAGTTACAAGTCTTGCTTCTGAAACATCTATATGCCATGGCCCAGGAAAATGAGGGGGGAGGATGGCTGAGATTGGGGATGACAAGCCCACTCAAGAAGAGGGGGACCAAGAACTGAAGTCCAGTCTAGTCAGATCTTACGGTGCTCTTTTGAGAGACCTAAAATTCAGATTCTTGGGCAACCTTTCTGGATCTCTGTACAGGCTACATCAGGCCCTGCCTATTTTCTCTGTTCTATGAGATGAAAGAGTGTCAGTGGGTGGGGAGAGCTGCAGGCAAGATGCTGCATTGTACAGAGCCTGGAGATCTGCCTGCAGGCTCCAGGGAGGTCTGGGACACGTAGGAGATTGTCAAATGAAGAAATAAATAGATGTAATAATATATATATATATATGCATTGCATGAATGATAAGTTACATGTTATGACCTTAAAATATTATGCAATATAGGGCTGGGGATATCAGTTGGTAGAGTGCTTGCCTTGCATGCACAAGGCCCTGGGTTCAATCCCCAGCACCACCCACACACACAAAAAAATTATGCAATATATTATATAATATTCTATTATGCTATATAATATTAACATATAACATGTAACATTAATTATATTGATAATATAATAATATACTATTAATATATGATACATTATTATATTAAATGATATATTAATCATTAATATAAAGATGTGTAATATATAAGTTATATAATTATTATGTTATTATTCATATATATATATATATATATATATATATATAGAGAGAGAGAGAGAGAGAGAGAGAGAGTTTTTGCTGGAAGAAGCATGTAGATGGGAGAGGCTGTAGAGGTGCATGCTCTGTTTGTGCAATAGCACAGAGTGGGGCTGTGAGGCAGGGACAGGGTGGCTTCACGATGCCTGGTGTGGCTTGCAGTGATATGTATGTATTTTTAACCTGGAGTTTACAGTGGCCCTGAATGCACCCTGGCAGGACCTGTAAGTCTGAGGCTTGACACAGCAGGTGTCAAATGCCTTTGCTGACACCCACCCCCTCCCCTGGCAGCTGGGGAAGCCTGCAGAGCCAGCTGTGGGTGGGAGCCCAGTGCAGAGGGAGGGTTGGAGCAGGGGCTGAAGGAATCACACCCGGGGCTGAGCACTGAAGGTCACTGGCAGATGCATTTGTCTGACCCACAAATTCTTAAAAGTTTTTTGTATTTAAAAATGAGGTTTTACACCAAATTCCATTTCTACTTTCTGTTTAAAATTTTGAGGTATAGGAAAAGGGACCTGGGCACAGTGGCACACACCTGTAATCCCAGCGACTGGGAGGGCTGAGGCAGGAGGAATGCAAGTTCAAAGCCAGCCTCAGCAACTTCATGAGAACCTTTCTTAAAAAGGGGGTGCAGAGCTGGGAATGTGGCTCAGTGGTTAAGTGCCCCTGGGTTCAATCCCTGGTGCCAAAGGAAAAAAACATTTTAGTTGTAGATGGATGCAAAATGTTTATTCTATTTATTTATTTTCATGTGGTGCTGAGGATCAAACCCAGTACCTCACACATGCTAGGCAAGTGCTCCACCACTGAGCCACAACCCAGCCCCAAGAAGAAAATTTTGATGAGCTGTTGACATCATGGGCCATTGCTGGCTGGCCAACTGGGGTCAGGGTGTTCTCACCTCAGCAGGGCATTCACAGATCTCACCCCCAGCCCCTGTGATCACCTACATCTGTCCCCTGCTATAAGGATCAGGAAGTCATAACACAACACAGCGTCACATGGAAAAGGACAGCTACGAGTGCAGGGACCTGCCAGGCCTTGTGCGATAGTCTCCACACCACCAGAGGGCCTCATCGGGCGGCCCACTTCCCGTCCACTGGGGACTCACTCCTCATGCTAATGTCAGGGTTTTATTATAAGTACACCTCTAAATTGAATCTTCATAGGGCAACACTAAAAGGGATGTGGCTAAGACAAACAGTTATGGCCACAACCTGTACCTGTGGGAGGTGGGACCCTGCATCCCAGCTCTTAGGAGGGAGGGTGCTGGCAGCTGCCCTGTCTCCTCTTGTCTCCAACAGAGCTGTGGGGTCGACTTTGAGGTCAAAGCATTTGCCACAGAGAGCCCAGATGGTGAAGAGGACAAAGTCTCAAAGAAGTAAGAGCCTATTTGGAATAGGTGAGGAGTGGGTGGGGGGTGGCCATAGTACAGCACCCATTTTATCTCTATGTGACAGAACTGTTCCCCTGGGGCTGTGTGGCAGGGGTGATGGCGCCTCCCCAGCTCTGGGCAGCTGAGGATGGAACTATCTACCATCTACCTGTGGGCATTGGTGGGTGGTCATCTCAGGGGACAAAGGGAAGAAAGTGACAGTAGCGCACAACATCAAGTGCCACAGAAGCACCTATGAGCTCTCAGATCCTTCTTTTGTTTTCTTCTCCCCCAGAGTCCCCCACCTGGATATTGAACCTGGGTCCCTGACCTATATCCCTAGCCCTTTCCATTTTTTTTACTTTGAGACCTATCTCCTTAAGTTGCCCAAGATGGCCTCAAATTTGAGATCCTTCTGCCTTAGCCTCTCAAGTCTCTGGGATTACAGGCATGCACCACTGTACCCAGCTCTCCTTTTTTATTTCTATTTATTTACTTATTTTGGTACTGGGGAATGAATCCAGGGGCACATTACCTCTATGCTAGATCTCCAGCTCTTTTTATTTTTGAGACAGAGTTTTGTTAAGTTGCTTAGGGCCTCACTATGTTGCTGAGGCTGGCCTTAAACTTATAATCCTCCTCAGCCTCCCAGTTGCCAGGATTACAGTACCACTATGCCCAACATTCTTCCTCCTTAAACAAATTTTTTATGGTGTTAAAATACACATAATATGACATGTGTCATTTAACCACTTCTCAGTATACAACTCAGTAGCATTAACTCCATTCCCAATGTTGTGTAATCATCACCAACATCTATACCCAGAAGTAAAAATTTCATCCCATCACCCCAAACAGAGCTCTATAACCAATAAGCAGTAACCTCTATTCCTCCCACCCTCCAAAACTCAAGATCATTTTTCTTTTCTTTTTTTTTTTTTTGAAATAATTTCTTTTTTATTTGTAGATGGACTAATACCTTTATTTTATTTGTTTATTTTTTTATGTGGTGCTAAGGATCAAACCCAGCACCTGACACATAGTAGGCGAGCATTGAGCTACAACCCCAGCACCCTCATGCTCATTTTTCTAAGGAGTTGAACCCAAGGATGCTTAACCACTGAGCTATATCCCTATCCCTTTTTAGTTTTTGAGACAGGATTTCACTAAGTTGCTGGAGCTAGCCTCAAACTTGTGGTCCTCTTGCCTCAGCCTCCTGGGCTATTGGGATTATACGCATGTGCATTTCACCCAGCTGGCTCACTTTTCTTGTTATACCCAGCCAGACTTCTCACTGAGCCCTTCCCATTTCCCCACATACTCATGGTACACATCTCTTGGTGTTTACAACAGTTACTAGCTGCAATTTGTTACTGCTCTGGGGCCTGGCCACACGAGGCCCCTGACACCATCACACAGCCTCGCCTAACCAGAGCCTGACAGCATGAAAGAGACCTACAGAGACATTTCTGGCCCTGACACCCAGCCTGTGGAGTGGGAAAGTCCCCGGGGCTGTCCCAGGCACAGGCCTGTCCCATCCCACCTCTGTCAGGACTCTGGGGAGGGGAGAGGAGAGGCCGAGCTGAAGTGGCTGATCTAATCCCAGGGATCCTCTGGCCTTTTCTCCACAGGAGCTCTGTGCGATTGCTCATCCGCAAAGTCCAGCACGCGCCATCTGAGATGGGGCCACAGCCCCAGGCCGAGGCCTCCTGGCAGTTCTTCATGTCTGACAAGCCATTGCACCTTGCAGTCTCCCTCAGCAAAGAGGTAACCCGCGTCCCTCTAGGGTAGTGTCCTGGGGCCCCAGCTATGTGGGTGCCTTGCAAGCCATTCTGCCTCAGGAGTCGTGGAAGGCCAGGGACTGTAAATGGCTCTTTCCATAACTGAGCCTCAGAACAGGGCTAACCAGTGGCACTGCCCTCGCTGGGCCCCACAGACTGGGGAGCCCTTTTTCTCACTGGCCTTTCTCTGCTCAACTCTCTAATGTCATGTCATAGGTGTGCCACCCTAAATTATTTACTCCCAGGAAAGTTAGCCACACAGGGCGGCTGTGTGCGATACCATCCCTCAGGTGTGTCATGGTGGAAAAGGTGAAGCCCTGCTGGCTAAGGCTCTCTCTGATCCTTCTGGGAGATGAGGCAGTTTCACACATGTGTTGGCAAGAGCCCATGCAGAGTGTGCACATGTGTGAGTGTACGTGTGCACACGTGCCCACTGGGGCTGGGTTCCACGTGATTGCTGGGGGAAGAGCTTCATCACCCAGTGTCCCCGTGGCTTCCTTTCACCTCACTCTTCCTGCTCCCAGAACCTCACAGTCCTACTCAGGACCTCCAGCTTCCTCTTATGTGACTCTCAGAGCCCCATTACCCTCCTCAGCCTCCTGTAGACAGGGCAGAACATGTTCCAGACCCTTCTCTGGAGGAAAGCATCATCTTCCTTAAAAGTAGGGAGTTCACCAAGCTTGTTCTAGTTAAAGGAATTGAACCTAGAATGACCTAATAAAGATGTCCCCACACTCAGTTCTCCTTTCTGACTTATCTCTAACTTTTTCAGATATATTTCCATGGGGAACCCATTCCTGTGACTGTGACAGTGACCAATAACACGGAGAAGACAGTGAAGAAGATTAAAGTCTTAGGTAGGACCTTCTTAAAACTAGAAGGCAAAACCTTTGAGAATTTCTCAGCCTTATCCTGTTTCACCAGGATCACTCTCTGGTCCAAGTAAAACCCTCTGGGTCTTGGGAACTACCTGCTTATCTTTGTTGGGCCATAGGCAATGGGTCTTTAGGGGGACAGCAACCTTACAGGTCATCTCATTAGCCCGTATGCCCACTAGGGCTGTCTTTTGTCTTGGTGACATCCCTGACAGATGCTGTTTCCAACCTCCCATGCTGTCCCTTCCCACAGGCCTCACTGTGCCTGAGCTCAGGGAAGCCAAGGAAGGAGTGTTCCTTTTTGGTCAGTGACAATTTTTTGTTGATCAGTGCAGCAAGTATAGTGGGAAGGGCTCTGGATAGAAGACATAGGGTTAAATTGTGGGTTCATGCTAAGTCTCCTGAAGCCCGACCGGCTTCCATAGCAGCAGCTCTTTGTTCATCTTCCCAGGCTGGATTAGGCTGTCAGGAGAGGTCCCCTTGAGAGTGTTCTGTAAAGTGTGAGGTGTGGCTATCTCAGCTTGAGTGGCCACCTTGTGATGGCCATCTCTGGATGCGTACTGCAGGGAGGTGAGACCTTTGGGAGATGATCAGGGCTAGATGAGGTCATGGGGGCAGGACCCCATGATGACATCAGTGGCTTTATAAGAGGAAGAGGAACTTGAACTAGCAATTCATGCTCTGCCTCAATGTGCAACACCCTCCACCATGTTGTGATGCAGAAGAAAGCCCTCACCAGATGCTAGTGTCATCTTAATGGGCGGGAGTTGACATAAAGCAGGTTATCGGTGAAGAGAAATGACTTGAAGACAGAATTGGGAATCACAAGAGTTTTCTGAGAAAGCCAGAAATGGACCAACATGACCCTCAGAGAGAAAAGTCCTGCTGTGTCTCCAGGAAGGCCAGGAGTCACCATGTACATACATGAGGGGCCCAGCGTTGATCACTGCCTCTTATCCTCCCTCTGCAGTGGAGCAAGTGGCCAATGTGGTTCTCTACTCGAGTGATTATTACGTCAAGCCTGTGGCCATGGAGGAAACACAGTAAGTAACAGTTGCATTTCTACTTCCGGGGTGGCCAACCTTCTCTGTCAAGTTCCTTTTTCTTTCATGCTGAGAACTAGAATGCCCAGCCATCCCCCCAGCTTTTTGCTTCCTTCCCCTTTTCTCACTTCAGGGGATGCCAAGAAAGTTAGCATCTTAGCTCTGTTTACCTCGCCCCATGCGCCTTCCATGTCACAGGAGGTTGGAGAGAACAATGCAATGACTTCAAACAAACAAGGGGAGAAATCAAGGTGGACGTGTCACCCACCGGGAACAGCTGGGCGCCTGCCTATTTATCCTTGACATGAGTCCTTGGTAATGTGGACTCTTTCTGCTCACCCCACCCTGCCCCAGCAGATGGCCAAATGAGCTGTCAGACCAGGCTAGGACTTTCTTTTGCTCCTTTATTCAGTTTGAAAATTCCATACCAATGATAACTTGATTAGGAAGATGCATTCATTTTTAGCCTGTCATTGTGAATGACTTTTCTCTCTTTGATAGAATCAAAAACAAATGAGAATCCTGCAGTGGCTCCTTCATTCATGAGAGACAAAGCAGGCTGCACTTTGTGCTAGGAAGTCAGATACATTTTTTTTTAATGTGTGTGTGTGTGTGTGTGTGGTGTGGGAGATTATACTCAAGAGCTCACATGTGCTAGGCAAGGGCTCTACCACTGAGTTACATCTCTAGACCTTTTTATTTTTCATTTTGAGACAGGGCCTCACTAAGTTACCCATGCTGACCTAAATTTGCAATCCTCCTATTTTAGCCTCCCTAGTGGCTAGGATTATAGGTATGCACCATTGAGCCCAGAAACATTTAATACACATGTTGCAGGGGTATTTCTCACCCCAGAAGGTCTTTTCCACTTTATCTAGTTGGCATGTTCTAAACATCACTGAATGTAGAAAACATTACCAGGGTCAAAGGAAGGTTGGGGTGGAGAGGAGGGGTTGTTGGTGAGGAAAGATAAACTGATTCACTAAGATAATATTGCACAATATTTAAAAGGCAACTTTAGGATAAACTATTACTCAAAACAAATTCATCCTTAAGTTTAAATATAGGCCTTCAGTGGAGGGAAGCAGGAAAGAACCACAACTCCTTAGCTGACTTCTTAATGCCAGGCCTAGGGTCTGTCCCACATTTTGGGCATATCCTTGCCATCCTTGGGGTCTGGGGAGTCTTAGCCCCAGCTGGCCTTTTGGCAGATGCTCAGAAAAAAACCAGGCAAATAGTCCTGACTGAGTTTTTAACTATATACCCTGTTATCTAGCCTACTTTTAAGTCTTTTCGTCAAATGAATCTCAGGAGACTGAAAACCATTCTAAGATCCTCCCAAGGGTGGGGGAGGGAGATTGGAAGCTGGGTCAGATCGTGTTAGTGGGTCTTAGGCTAGAGGCCACTCAGAAGGCTGTAGAGCATGAGCCACTGTGCCAGACCCTGGGACTCCAGTGGGAAGGTTTCCTCAAGCCAGGTCGTACCTGATTTTCAATCTGTTGCCTGCCATTGAGTACCAGGTCCTGAAGGCCCTGGAAGTCGCCTTAAGGTCTTGCCACAGTCCTTTGGCAAGCTGTGATTCAGGAAAGGCCATCATGCAGCCCAGTCTCAGGGCCCCCTTTCTATTTCTGTCACTTTTACAATAATGCAAAGTCCATTTTTATCAATGCCACTGCCCAAATCTAATTCATTTGATAGATTGCCCCAAGACCTAGGTGGGAGGACATGGGCCATCCTGGGCTCATACAAAATTCTATGAAGAGCTTCCTATATCCACCAGAGGCAGGATCCATCACAGTTGCTTTAAACTCCCCAGTGAGCTCAAATAGGGGAACCCTTCTGTGGGAGGCATTTCGGGCTCCAGCTGTCTTGGAACACTCTTGGGAAGTAGTCCTGATGCCAGCTCCCAGGCAGTGTTTTCAGGTCACACCCTGCCTTCCTCTGGCTGGTACCAGGATGCAGGGCGTGTTGCTGGCACGCAGGGCTCTGCAGCCTAAGGCTGCGACTGTGTGGCTGTTGAGTACAGGGTTGGCAGAGCACAAGATAAGAGGTGTACAGACAGCCCTCACCAAGGCCTGGTGCCCAGCACGTGAACAGCAGAGTTGGTTCTGCAGCCTCAGATGCTGCTTTGTGATCTTGGTGATGCTGTGTCCCAAGCACAACCCCAGATCGGCCTCTTGGCACAGGGTTCCTGCCATCTGTCAGATGCTGGGGAACTCAGAGCTCAGTTGATGACCCAGAAGACCAAGTAGAGGAAAAGTGTGTGCTGCTTTGGACCTGAATCAGCTTGGTCTGTGTGGCCACTGATGGAGGCCCCTTCCTTACCCTGCTCACCATCCCACCATCAGTCTCCTGGTGACAGATTTTGGCAACAAGGACCTTTCCCACCTGGGCTTATTGACACTGCTCTGATGGCTCTGCTGCATACTGTGGGGTTCATAGAGCCTTAGGAGACTGGCTGGGGTCTCTGACCTGGGACCCGTTTGTCTTATTTAGAAATTCAGCAATTCAGAGCAGGTTGGGAGGTCTGAGGCAATGTCCTGATATTGCTGCCAACCCACTTTGCAATTTCACTAACAATATGCTCCTCTTCCCAGTAAGTGGATAGGGAATTTGGATCCTGGAAATGCTGGATGACAAATAGGGTCTGGTCGGGTTGATGGTGACTCTCCTCTATGTTGTTCTTCTTCCAGAGAAAAAGTGTTACCTAATAACACTTTTACCAAGACCCTGACATTGGTGCCCTTGTTGGCTAACAATCGAGAAAGAAGAGGCATTGCTCTGGATGGGAAGATCAAGCATGAGGACACAAACCTCGCCTCCAGCACCATGTGAGTCCTTGCTACTGCATGAAAGTCGTGTTGGTGCCAGCTGGTGCAGGTCTGTCCCCCGGGCTCAAGGTGTGCATGACAGGCTAGCTGGCATTAATGGTAGAGAGTGCAGGTCTCATAGGCCCAAATGAGGCTCCTTCTCCTATCTGGAACAAGGCGGTGATCATATTGGTGGACCCTGGACACAGCCTTGGGTACCCCCAGCTCCACTGCATACTCTGGGTGGCTCTGGGCAAATGACTTGAGCTCTCTGAGAACCTGTTTTCTTGTCTCTCAGTGGAGGGGGGAGGGTGATAAGAGTCCCAATCTCACAGAGTGGTGATAAGGACTGACACAAGCTGCATGCAGCATGGAGCCCAGCACTCAGAAGGCGCCTGAGCAATGTCAGCTGCTAGTTTCCTAAAGCGTCATTAGCTGGTGCACTGTCCTAAGCATACAACTGAGCCATGCAGCTGGCTGTGCTCATCCACTTATTTCCTCTGGGAAAGGTGAAAAGTGGGATCCCGAGGGCTGCAGAAGTCAATGAGCTTTATAGGAAAATAAGCACTGTTTACAGGCATGGTGGCGCCTGCCCGTAATCCCAGCTGCTCTAAGCCTGAGGCAGGAAGGTCTAAATCTGGGCCAGCCTGGGCAACTTAGCAAGACCTTGTCTCAAAATAAAAAATAAAAAAAGGACTGGTATGTAACTCAATGGTAGAGTGTCCCTGAGTTCATTTCTAGCACTAAAAGAAAGGGGGGAGGGAAGGGAGGAAGGAAGATCCACTCGCTGGATTTAGGCAACAGATCTAGAAAAAACTGTACAGTGAAGGCTCAGAAGTCAACACTGCTGCTCTCCTAGCCACCCTTTTGGGCTTCTGTTTCTGGGAGTCTCTCTGTTGGAGGGCTCTGAGGGCTTGTGGTCAGAGCCATGCGCCAGCTCAAGACCCACTTCCTGCCCTCTCCCTGGGTGATGTGCTGGAGGGTCCCTCCATGGCCCCAGTAGGCTACTGACCAGAGAGTTGGTAAGGAGTGGACTTTGCTCTCCAGTTAACTGAGCTGCTGACCCTGGACAGGTCTCTCATTCTGGCTAATCTTATGGATAATTTCCTTATCCATAAAATGAGAATAAATACACCTTGCTCACAAGGCATGGAGAAATGTACATGTTTTAAATGACTCTGCAAACTATAAAACATGTTTATGATATGGCGTGCCATTGTCCATAACATGACTGTCGTGCCCTTGAGGAAGCAGATCTGTGGTGTCAGTTTCTCTGTTATTCTTGCCTTGTGAACATGCTCCAGAATCTAATTCAGTAATTTGGCAACTCACTCACAGAAAATCCTTTGACAGTGAGAATACTCACTGACCCCACTGTTGGCCTTACAGAATGTGAGTCTACCAAGCCATGGGTTCATGCAAGTCAGATAGGTCAACTTCTGGTCTGTTGGCATCACCTTGGAGGCGGCAGGGCGAGAGCTTGCAGGGTATTCTCGGGCCTGTGACAAAGTACGTTCTCTTCCTTGGGTGTTTGGCCTTATTTAACATGAGGTCAAGAGCCAATCCCAGCAGAAGTGTGGAGTTTCAAGCTTACACCCTCTTTTATACCCTTTGGTGGCAACCCCTCTCTGCTGAGTAGGTGACCCTCTCCACAATTCCAGGTAAAGAGGCTTCTCTGGGGATCAGTGTGGTCGTGGGTGCACATGTTCCTGGGCCAGATTTTGGTCTCTGGGCTAGAACTTTCAGGGCCATATCCCAGATCCCAGAGCTGTCAACGCAATCTCCCCTGCCCTCAATCCCCTGCCTTCAGGGTCCTCCATCATGATCTCTATCATTATTCACATTATTTTAGTTAGTATTTCATGATAAATTTTTTTATACTGGAAATTTAACCCAAGGGCACATAACCTCTTAGCCACATCCTCTGTCGTTTTTAAATATTTTATTTTGAGACAGGTTCTCACTAAATTGCTTAGGGACTTGCTAAATTGCTGAGGCTGGCTTTGAACTCAAGACTTCTGCTGCAGCCTCCTGAGCCGCTGGGATCACAGGTCTGCACCACTGAGTCCAGCTCATGATAATTTGCATGCCTTAATTCCTGTTATTGGACATCCTGAAATACTTAAGTCTTCTTCATTGGGTCGTGTGAGATAAAAACCTGTGATAAAATTTCCACTGTGGTGTGTATCAGATAACAGGAATTCCACGCATGTTAGGAGATTTGGAGTGAAGTTTCTGTCAAGGAAAGTCACACCTCACCCTCTTTGGGGCACATCTCATGCACCTCATTCACTCACTTAAACATTCACTGCTAGGCACATACTGGGTGCCGGTGGGGCAGGGTCCAGATCAGTCACAATTCCTGTGATCAGGGCTACAATAGAGTATCCACGTGTCTTTCCCATGAGCAGAGCACAGAGGAGCGAGTCCCAATGCTCCCTGGCAGTGTCTGGGAAGGCTTCCCAAAGGAGGGGAACTATAACTTGGGGTCTTAGGGGACAAGAGAGGAGAAGGAAGGCATTCTGGGGCAGGCTTGTAGTTGGCAAGGCTGGCGCAAGGCAGGATCAGGCAGTGGGGCAGTGGGTAGGAGACGGCAGAGGCATCTCCCCGAAAAACTGAACCTGAAAGATTTCTCAGGCTACAGAGAAGCTGGAAAGCTCAGTTAAGGAGCCTGGCATGTGGGAGACCATTACAGAGACAGATACCCAGGCAGGGAAAGCCCATGGGAGGACTCTATGCCTGCCCTGCTGAGATGGTGGAGCAGGCTGGGGAGAGGCTGGATGACCAGGGTACAGAGGAGGGGAGGAAGTACGCTCCTCCCTCTGTGGACTGCAGGAGTAGGAGACGCAGGCATCCCTGCACCCCTTCACGTGTATGTGCAGTCCTTGGACTCAGGCTGGCCTGGGCCAGTTCACCAGTTCCCGAGAAGCAGCCTCCAGATGAGTGGCCCTGGTTGGAGGAGCAAGAATCCCCTCACAGGCTGTGCCTCCTGCTGCCTCCTCACCCTCCGCTCTTCCTTTCTATTGGGCAGCCTTAAAGAGGGCATGGACCGCACCATCATGGGCATCCTGGTGTCTTACCAGATCAAGGTGAAGCTCACCGTGTCAGGGTAAGTGCCGGCACTTGGCCTGCTCCCTCTTGGCCTGGGACTGCTCTTTCCTGAAGGACTAACAGGCAGACAGCGGCCGGAGGCAGAGCCTAATGGCTCCTGTGCTGGCCTGGGTTGCATTCTATTTGTCCCTGGAAAAGAAGGTTGTGAAATACTGCACTGTTCGTACCCTGGGCCAAAACAGCTTGCACCTGCACACCACCTAGGTAGAGCGCTGTAGAGTGCTAGAGAGCGGAAAGAGAATCAGTTTCATGTTACATTGTACTTCAGAAAGAACAATGGCTGCCCAGTGGACTCCCAGTGACCTTCATCTGTTTGCATCTTGGGAGGCATCTGCCCACCAAGGAGGGACTGCATCTTCCCTCCCCTAACATGGAATCACAGAATTGGGAGGCTCCTTTTCATACAAGAGTGCTGACATCTCTAAAGAAACTATTCATTCTATTTTAATGAAACTGATTTTTCCTTGTCTTTAATCTCACCAAAAGGAAACAAAAACAAAAACACCTTGGCTTCTCATTTCCCTTTCAAATTCCACAGCCAAAGTCTCTATTCTGATCACAGGCAGATCCTGAATATGTCCCAGGGTCCTGGGTAGGTAAAGAGTTCTCCAAATTTTGCTTGGGGCCACAAAGAACACAGGTCTATTTTAGGTATTTTGTTAGCACAAAGTTTCCATTTGTTGTGTTTTTTTGAAGTGGATAGTGCTTTCTTTTCTTTTTCTTTAATATTTTTTAAGTTGTTGATAGACCTTTATTTATTTATATGTGGTGCTGAGAATTGAACCCAGTGCCTCACACATGCCAGGCAAGTACGCCACTGCTGAGCCCCAGCCCCAGCCCTGGATAGTGCTTTCTTTTCTTTCCTTTGTGAGGATCTAGAACCAGGTGGAGTTTCCCTTAGCAGTCCAGAAAAGCAAATTCAGGTAGTCCTCCTATCCTCAAGTTTCATATTGGTGACTTCAACCATCTGCAGATTGAAAATATTTTTTAAAAACTGCATATGTGGGGGCTAGAGCTGTGGCTCAGCAGTGGAGTGCTTGCCTTGCACGTGCAAGGCCCTGGGTTCGATCCTCAGCACCACATAAAAATAAATAAACAATATAAAGGTATTGTGTTCATCTACAACTAAAAAAGGTACTAAAAAAAAAAAAAGAACTGCACATGTGGGGCTGGGATTGTGGCTTAGAAGTAGAGTGCTTGAATTGTAATGCAAAATAAAAATATATATATTTGTAAATGAAAAAAAAAAAAGAAGTAGAGTGCTTGCCTGGCACGTGCAAGGCCCTGGGTTCGATCCTCAGCACCACATAAAAATAAATAAATAAAATAAAGGTATTGTGTCCAACTACAACTAAAAAATAATTATTAAAAAAAAAAAGAGTTCTTAAAAAAACCCTGCATATGTGCTGACTGTATAGACGTTCCCCTTGTTATCCCCTAAATGATAAAGTCTAATAACTATTTATACAGCATTTACATTGTATTGGTGATTTAAGTCATCTCTAGATGATTTTGAACGTATGGGCGAATGGGTGAAGGTGCTATGCAAACACCACGTCATTTTAAATAAGAGACTTGAACATTGAAGTTTCAGTATCCCCAGTGGGTCCTGAAACCAGTCATGCCCACTATCCCACCTTGCAGATATAAAAGGCTAGAGCAACTCTAAGGTGTTCTCATAGAGACCTCTATGATTCTGTGGCTTATTCTTGACCCTAAGTTATTCTTCTTGACCCTAAATGATCCTCTTGAGAAAAAGAGTCACAGTAGGGAGGAGGACGCTGAATATTAAGGAATGAAAGACCCTGGAAGTGGGGAATGTGGGCAAGGAACCTGAGAACCGAGTCAGGTCTTGCCTCTGAATAATGGGATGTGAAGTCATATTGCCACTGGGGACAGTCACCACAGCCATTTGTTTTTGTTTTGTGTTTCCTAGCTTTCTGGGAGAACTCACCTCCAGGTAAGTCTCTTCTCCTCCCTTTCCACTTGATTCGCAGGACGCCAAGGACAATAAGCCTTTTTTTTTTTTGGTACCAGAGATTGAACCCAGGGGTACTTAACCACTGAACCTCATCCTCAGCCCTTTTTCTATTTTGAGACAGGGTCTCACTGAGTTGCTTAGGGCCTCACTAAGTTGCTGAGGCTGGCTTTGAACTCATGATCCTCCTGCCTCAGTCTCCCAAATTGCTGGGATTACAGGGTACACCACTGTGTCCAGTAAGCCCTTCCTCTTAAGAGGAACTGAAGAAGCTGGTCTCTGGGCAGCTCTACTCATATGTTAGAAGTGATGCTGCTGCCTCTGGAGCATCATGCAGTGCTTAGCTCACTAGTGTGTGTCTGGGGTGACAAGTAGGTCTACACCTCACAAAGAGACTCCTCCAGAAAGTCCACATACTCCGCATAGCTATCTAGCTGTCTTCTGCACCTGTATGCAGTGCAAGACATGAATTATACCATTTTAACCACTTTAAAGTGCACAATTCAGCAGCATTAAGTAGTTTTACAATGTTATAAAACCACCACCACTATCTAGGTCCAGAATATTTTTGCTATCTGAAAGGGAAACCTAGTACAAATTAAGTAATCACTCCTGTTTCCCCTCCCACAGCCTCTGGCAGCTACTAATCTGCTTGCCAGTGTTAACTATCCTGGATATTGCCTATAAATGGCATTGTATAATAAGGAGCCTTTTTGATTGACTTTTATCATTGGCGTAATGTTTTCAAGGATCATCTGTGTTGTAGCATGAACTAATACAGTACTTTATTCCTTTTTATGGCTGAGTAATATTCCACTGTATGGATATACCACATTATGCATATTTTGGGGGGATTGTTTCTACCTTTTGATAATTGTGAATGGTGACAGCTTCCTTTTAAGTCATGCACAAAGAAGGAACAAATTTGAGTCAGGTGTGGTGGTGCACTCCTGTAATCCCAGTGATTTCCTCCCCCTGAGTCAGGAGGTTTGCAGGTTCAAGATCAGCCTCAGCAACTTAGACCCTGTCTTAAAAAAGGCAGTGGGGGTGGGGGGATGGGGAGATGGGGACCTAGCTCATTGGTAAAGCATTCCTGAGTTCAATTCCCAGTACCAAAAAGAAAAAAAATTAGAAATATTTGAGTCAGCATTGACTTGACATGGTTTTTTACCCCAATTCTTATCATCTTCATCTCTTATCTAGAACCCAGGTCACACCCGTTTCTTTTAGATCCTATCTGTACCTGTGTTATTTAAACAAATGTGCTTGGCCCAGAGGTCAGCCCTGGGCAGGAAGCAGGGGGCCCTAGAATGCAAGGAGGAGCCTGTTTTCTCACCTCTCTCCTCATCTTTCTGTTCTCCCTTTCTCTGAATCTCTCTTTCGTCCTCCTTCCTGACTCCTTTCCTTCCTTCTTTTTGGTATAAATTCCAAGTCGCCCCAAAGTCCTCTAACTTTTGGAGTTCAGCAGACTGTTGTGCTCTCTGTGCCCACCCTTGACACACCAGCCTCACACAGGTTTTAACACATTCAGGATGTTGCACCTTGTTGCAAAGACTATTTTAAAATCCATCCTCCCTCAGAATTGCGAGTTCAAGGCCAGCCTCAACAACTTAGCAAGGCCTGAGCAACTTAGTGAGACCTTGTCTCAAAATAAAAATTATAAAGGGTTGGGATGTGGCTCGGTGGTTAAGCACCCCTGGGTTCAGTCCCGACTACCAAAACCCCAAAACAACAACGACAAAATCTACTCTGTCCTTCCTGTCGGATTTTGCCTCTTCTCCTCCCATAACATATGTCACTACATCTAGTAAGCAGCACAGGGAACTTGGAACACTGGTTGCCCAGCCATGCCTGAGTGAAGTTCCTGGACCACATTCCAGGGAATGCATTGCAAAATCTCACTTGACTATATTCTGATTTCTGTTTTGCTTTGAGTTCTGCTAAATTATCTTTCAGCTTGGGCCTGGGGATATTTTATGAAGCCACTAACCTTGTGTGTGTGTGTGTGTGTATCTACTAACCAGCCTACATTCTTTTTTTCTAGCGAAGTGGCCACTGAGGTACCATTCCGTCTCATGCACCCCCAGCCTGAGGACCCAGGTTAGTTGCGCCATTGTCCAGGCTGTCTCGAGCTCTTCTCCCCTGGTAGACTTATTGGTACTCATTCCTTGTCTTTCTTGACTGCACCTCTGAGTAGGGGGGTTACCAGGTGACATCCACAAGGTGACTGGGCTAGCCCAGAAGAAAGCACTCACCTGTTTACCCCCTGGAGCCTGTGTGAAGGATGTAATGGAAAACCCCAGAATCTCTGCTGTCAATAGACCTAGATTTAGATTTTAGGATGATTTAGTTTGAGAGCCCAAGGCTTTTGCATTTCATTTGGAAACAAAAGGCCTAATGTATCATTTGGAAGCATTCATAGGCATCATGATGAGAATACAGAAAAGACTAGAAAAGAGGGTCAGGCTGGGATCCTCACATCTTGGCTCATTTGACTTATAAATCCATTGGCTCTTGATGGATGTCAAGTGAAGGATAGTGTACAACTCTGTGTTTAACATCAGCCTTGTTGAACTGTCACTGTAAAGAGAACTGGATGATATGGAGTTAGATCTCAAGGAAGTTCTTTTAAGAAAAGCTCAATGAGCTGGGCGCAGTGGCACATTCCTGTGATCCTAGTGGCTTGGGAGGCTGAGGCAGGAAGATGGTGAGTTCAGAGCTAGCCTCAGCAACTTTGCAAGATCCTAAGCAAGTCAGCAAGACCCTGTCTCTAATAAAATACAAAAAAGGGCAGGTGATGTGGTTCAGTGGTTAAGTACCCCTGGGTTCAATTCCTGGTACCAAAAAAAAAAAAAAAAGCTCAATGAGGGGTCAGTGGTAGAGCATGTACTTAGCAAGCATGGGGCCCAGGGTTTTGTTCCAAGTGTTGGGAAAAAAAAGTAAATGAGGCAGCAGAATTAATCCAGGTGCATCTTAGAAACTCCAAGGAAAAATTCTCCCCTATATAATTAGGCAGGTTGATAGAAAAATCAACCAGTTTGAGAATTCTCCATAGTTATAATAATAAAGACTTTTAAGTAAAAGTGGTATAAACCAGCAGGGTTTCTTTTCCTCGTATTTGACAAATAGTTTTTCTATGTTGAAAATGAGGGGTATTTACCCATTAAAATGAGTTCTCATATTCATTTTAGGTTTTGGCTCAAAATATTTTGTCTCAAAATATCTTTTCCAAATATTTTAGATTCAAACTCTCTATGCACATTGGCAAAAGCTTCTGGTTAAATAGTTAATCTTACATTTTTGATTCACTTATGCTTGTATCATAAAAATGGTCTTTATTTTTTACATTTATTTGGGAGTAATTAGGACTTTAAGCCGGGAAAACACAGATTCAGTCTTGAAAATGTGGTCCCAATCTTCAATTGTTCTTTTAAGGACATTCAAATGATAACCACCCAAAGAGCTTTAGGCAGACTTTGTGAGTTAATTTTTTGTTAAAGAACTTTTAAGCAAAAAAAACAGGAGCAAATGGCATGGGCCCCTTTTCCATCTTGGGGAAAGCCTTGATCGATTCCTTTGCTGCTGAAGAGTTACTCTTCCTTCCCATGTATCATTTTGATGTTTCTGTTGCTATGGCCCTTACATTGGACATCTCACAGTGTCAGGACAAAACAATAAAATCTTTTGTCCTCTGAGATTTTGGAGGCAAGAATTAGGACAAATCATCCTGTGGTTACAAAACTCTGATTTCCTGAGACCTAAGAGTGACCAAATCTCATGGCTCTCATTTTCTGCCTAGTTCCTGACTCCCTGAGTAGAGGTGGTAGAGTCTAAGCAGAGAAAGCATGATTTATAGATAGGCCTTGCCAGAGCCAGGGGCCAAGCAATTTGTACCTAGCAAGTGCTGAAGAAGTAAAAGTGTTTTTATTGTCTGCTGCCAAGAGCATCCACCAAACCCCAGAGTGTTGATTGGATCCGTCCTGTTGACTGCCTTTTCAGGGATGAGGGTCCCAGTTAGTGGGTTTTACTGCTCAGCACTGTAGGGCTCCAGGGTATTCTTGTCAGGGAAAAGTTTGATGAGTTAAGCTCTCTTTGGGTCTCTGTGCTCAGTGGTTCTCACAGATATTCCCTCCTGTACTGGCTTCTAGGTAGGCCTGAGACACAAAAGCATAAGTTCACCATCAAACCACTGCTTCCCAGTTTCTGAAGCTCTTTAACTGCACCAGAACTTTATTAGGTGACCAGAAAACTAAAAAAGAACAAAGCATACTCAAATGGTTAGCAACTCATCTGGGGATATGAAACACATGGAAACCTAACCTGACCCCAGAAGATCAAACTGAGGCATGAGGGGGTGGTCCTCAGGTGTTAGTGCACACCCTTACCCAGGGTGCTGGTATACATCATCCCCGAGAGCCCGATGGGCTGGTGCCTGGAGCTGCATGGTCAGTCTCCATGTGACTCTGACCTCAATGGGGTCCAAAGGACACTTAAGGAGAAATACTTTGAAAAGAGGAGTGACATACAAAGGGTGGGGACAATCAGGGAAGAGGTCCAAAGGTGAGATTATGGCAGTTTCAGGCACCCTGTAAAAAAAGTGATGGTGGGCTGGGGCGTGGCTTAGAGGAAGAGCTCTTATCTAGCTTGTATGAGGCCCTTGGTTCCATCAGTGCCCTCAAAAATCAAAGGCAAAACCAAAAGAGAGTGATGGCTAAAGATGCAGACAGAAAGGCTAAGAACAGAAGTCACACCCAGCCACCAAGAAAGACGCCTTCAGAACTTACTACCCCTCAAACTGCTCAGCTGAAAGGGGAGACAGTCCAGGCGCTTGATGTGGAATTGATTTTAACCTCTTCTTCTCTCTGCTCTCTCCCTCTCTCCTTCCTTCTGGGCTCACAGCAAAGGAAAGGTAAGCCACCAATCTCTGCTCTGTTTCTCTGACCTGTGACTCCTCCTCCTGCATAGACCCCTCTTGGGGTCTCTGTGCCCTTCCCTTGTGTCCTCTAGCTCCCAAGGGCTATGCTTGTGGGCTCTCTTCTTTTCTCCTTTTTGTTAAAGAACTTTTAAACAGGCTGGGTGCCTTGGCACACGCCTATAATCCCAGCAGCTCAGGAGGCGGAAGCAGGAAGGTCCAGAGTTCAAAGCCAGCCTCAGCAATTTAGCAAGGCGCTAAGTAACTCAGTAAGACCCTGTTACTAATAAAATACAAAATAGGGCTGGGGATGTGGCTCAGTGGTCAAGTATCCCCTGAGTTCAATCCCTGGTACCCCCCACCAAAAAAAAAAAATCTTTTAAACAAACAACAACAACAAAAAAAAAAAATGAGGAAAATGGCATGGGCCCCTGTTCCATCCTGGGGAAAGCCTTGATTCATTCCTTTGCTGCCAAAAGAAGATCAAGGGTCTTGGTTCTCTTAAGATTTCATTCTCAGCTCTGAGAGGGCACTGAACAAGGTGTCTCTGTTTTCTTTTTAGTTTTCAGGATGCAAATTTGGTTTTTGAAGAGTTTGCTCGCCAAAATCTGAAAGATGGGGGAGACACTGAGGAAGGGAAGAAGGAGGCTGTCAATGATGAGTGAAAATATCGGCTCAGACTCCCGCGAGCGGCTGTAGTTCCTGGTGCCAGGAGCAAAGCCCCACAGTCAGCCCTTCAGTTGTGCTAGATAGGAAAGTCCGAGTTTCCTCCTGGAAATAAAGTGTGTCATGTGATCCCTGGTTGCAAGTGGGGTTGATTGACTGGGACTTTGAGCTTCTGACCCTGATGCAGAAGTTGCCGCCTTTAGCGCCCTGGCTCCTGAGGGGAAAGGGGCATCATCTAGAAGAAAGGCCAGCCACCACAGAATGGCTCAGCAGTGGCCACTGAGGGGAGAAGGTGTCTGGAAGTCAGTGTGCCACCCAGTGGGACCTGGGGTGTCCAGGAGGCTTTGGGTCCTGGTCTCTCTAACTTGTTTCTCTGGAAACATATGGTGAGAGATTTCTAATTGACCAATCCTAGCCCCAGGGTTCTTCTTAAAGAGGTTCCTGAAATTAATGGGGCAGAGAACAAGTTGGGCAAAAATACCCTTTGTTGCTGATTCCACTTTGGGGGTCAAGTCCCTGATCGAGCCCTGGATAGTTGGTTAAGTTTCTATTGAGTGTGAGCAACAAAATCAGATTTGTTTAGCTTTAGGGGCAAATGGAATGTAGTAGAAGGACCCTGGAGTGGCCAGGGAACTCAACTGAAGGAAGATCCTGAGCTCCCATTGCTGGGGTGGGCAGAGACCTGCCAAGCTCTGGGCGTTCATCCCAGGAGCTTGGGGACCTGCCATTTGCATGACAATTTATGTGACTCAGCACCACGAATTGAGCTCTGTGGTCCAGGTCCTGCTTTGTAGTTCCTGGGAAGGAGAATCTGATTGGCTCAAGGAGGCTGATCAAATCCCAATGCCAGTGACAGCAGAGCTTGGCCATGAGGATAGCTTTCTCCAGACAAATGGGTCCACTGTGAGCCACGTGGGCTTCCTGGGTGGACTGTGCTTCATTGAGGTGGGGCATAAAGAAGGAGGGGATGCTCTGAGTCAGGGAGGGAGATGGCCCTAAGGAGAGGAACATAATGGGGGTGCTTCTAGGGCACTTTCTGTGAAGGTTTGGCCCATGGCACCCACCAGCCTGGAGCCTAATGTGATGCCAGGGGGGATGAGCAGCTCTCCGGGCAGCCATGGGAAGACTTGGGGATGTGTAGCTCTGGGCTGTGCTTCTAGGGAGCAGGTAAAAGGGTTCTGGAGACTTCTCCACTGCTCAGCCCACTTGCTGAAGGCAAGGGTTGAGGGGAGAGTGTTATGTGTGAGGTGTACCATTGGGTTGGGTTTGGGGATCTAGTGCCACAGCAGAGGGTTGGATAGGGCCTGGGCTCCTGAGTGTGAAGACTTCCAATGCCTGAGGCTGTCCAATGGATTCCTGGCTGCTCTGTGTCTTGGGGCTTGGGATGGAGACGTGGAGGGCCTCTGGGGAACCTTTCATGGGTTCAAAGACAAAGCAAGGTTTGGACCTGCGTGCGACTTTGAGGCATCCTGGTATTGGCAGAGATGAGGATTCGTTTCTGGAACTATGCTACTATTGCTGTAGAAGACGAACGCTGTGGGTCAGGAGATCAGACAGTTTTCTTGTTTTTTTCTCCCAAACCGAGGGAACAGTGCATCATCAGACCAGCCCATGCTGCTCTCTCAGGTAACCAGACAAAGAGGCAATTACGATGGTATGCTCCTGTTCACCCCCCCCACCAAGTCCTCCCTTGCCTTTTGCCGCAAGCACACAGGTCTGTGTGCTTAGCTCCTGCTGGAGTTCTGGGCCAGCCAAGGGCTTTGGACTCCGCCCTGCACTGCCTGGTGAGGACCAGCCTGTTGGTTCCTGCATTGCTTGACCCCAGGACATCCTAAGTCAGGGTGGACGTTAATAGTCCTGACCTTTGGAACTGTGTGGGTGGAAAAGCCAGAGGGAGGGTTGGGTGGCCAATCCCTGGATACCAGAGGTCAGAACAGCCCTTGCCCTCCGAGTTGTTTTGGTGCCAAGATGTCCTGATATAGCCCTCCAGGTGCTGGTTTGCTATGACTCGCAGCTGGCCACCCTGGGGGAGTGGGGCAGGAAGTGAGCAGCTGGCTGACCTAGTAAGCCAGCACTCGGGATGTGGAACATTGGCTCTGCTCAGCCTCCACATTTGTGTTTGTGGAGTTGTCTCCACTGGCATGGAGGTTCCCCTGACTCCACCCCCAAGAGACAGGAAGTCTGTAGGCAGGTTGAGTATGTGGCCCAGGGACTGCAGGGAGGTGCAGTGCCAGAAACATATTCTGAAGGAGTTGAGGGTACTGCACAGAGAAAAGTTGGGGCTGAGAAATTGAGGCAAAAGTCTGGAGAACAGGCATTCCTGAATTTATTGAGTGCCTGGCTCGTGCCAGGCACTTTATGTAGGACATCTGATTGTAAAGCAGAAAAGGGTCATGAGGCCAGGAACCACAGAACAAGAATAAGGCACCAAAAGGAGTTTTATTGAGTGGGGGGGGGGCAGTGGCGCTCCAGACATGCAAAGTTCACCGATCCAGAAAGGGTAAGCAAGGCGAAACAATACCTATACAGGTCACTAGAGGTAGGAGGACCCTATATAGGTCACTAGGGGTAGGAGGCTCAGCGGAGTTTAGGGGCCCGGTTTAAGGGCTGGGTCTCTTTAGCGAGGTGGTGAAAAGTTCTGGCCCTTGGCCACCATGGGATGGGGAGGAGAAAGGGGAAGGGAGGGGAAAGGGAAGGGAAAGCTGCCTGCCAGACACTGATCATTCCAACATGCAGTTGGTCCTGCCACTGCCCCTTGTCAGATGAGGGGAAACTGAATTCAGGAGGTTAAGTACTTTACTCAAGGTTCCACAGTTAGAGAATCCAAGCTAAGACTTGAATTCTATTTCCCTGAGTCTATACCAGACCTTTGCCCACTGGGTGGTACTGAATGGGAGTAGGAGAGTTCAGAGGGTCAGAGAGAGAGAATTAGCATTTATGATTAAGCGATGACTGCCCTTGAATTCTTTGTTATCAACTGAATTTATGTGTGATAACAATTGCACTTTAGCCAGGTAGTGGTGGGGTGTGCCTATAATCCCAACTACTTGGGAGGCTGAGGCAGGAACATCTCAAGTTGAGGTCAGGCTTGGCAAGTTCAAGGCCAACCTGGGCAACTTACCAAAAACCATCTCAAAAAAAAAAAAAAAAAAAATGGCTGGGGAAGTAGCTCAGTGGTAAAGCATCCCTGGATTCAACCTCCAGTACTGAAAAAAAATTGTACATTCATGCAGTTAGGAATAATACAGAGAACTCTCACGAACCCCTATCCAATAGTGACATTTTGTAAAACTGTAGTAGTACAATATCACAACCACGGTTCTGACATTGGTACAACCCCCCTATCTGTTCAGATTGCCCCACATTTTTTTTTTTTTTTTAATGTGTACCGGGGATTGAACCCAGGGCACTTATGCCCCTTAAGCCAAGTCCACAGCCCTTTTATTTTTTGAGACAGGGATTCACAGAGTTGCTTAGGCCCTTGTTCAGTTGCTGAGGGTGGCTCTGAACCTGCAATCCTTTTGCCTCAGCCTCCAAGCCACTGGGATTATAGGCACGTGCTACCCATTTGGTTCAGATCTCCCCAATCTTATACTCCTGAGTGTATCAAGTTTTCTGTGGTTTTATCACATGTAGTTAACTTCTTTTTAGTATGTTTGTTTTCCTATTTCTTTAACATTTTTGGTTGTTTTCATCTTAGTTTAATTTCACAGTTTACTGATTTTAGGAGGCAGAATAGGTGGGAGATAGGTTTGGGCATGTTTGGAAATGGGTGGTGTGGTTTTAGGTTGTCACAATGTCTGGGGTCCCAGAGAAGCTATATGTCACATGCAGTGAAAAAATATTCCCCTGCAAGCATCAACCAGAACACTAACTAGTTCAGGGCAACAAGTTAACTCTTGCCAGGGAAGTATTGGACCTGAGCAGGGTTTGGGACGTTATCCCCACGTTTGCAGGTGGATGTGGGAACATTTTAACGTGAAGTGGTTCTTTCTGACAGGGTTGTACCTCTCTGCCAACATGTCACAAAGAAGGATTAGGCTGGATGTGAAGTGTGTTATTATTGCCACCTTGACATGCCCTCAAGGAAGGGTGAACCCAGGGCGCAGCATAATATTAGACATGATTCACAGCCTGACTCATTCAGTAAAGAGGCACCCAGGGGAGATGTGCTCGTCCCCTCTGGGGGAGGCGATGCAAAGCCCTTCCTGAGATCCCCAAGGGAACTGAACTGTGCATCCACCAGGGGAAACAAAAGGATTCTTCATGTGTCAAAGAAAATTCTCACCTTAGTTGGGTGGTGTGTTTTTAGGTTGTCACAATGTCTGGGGGCTTTTAGAACACAACATACTTCTTACCAAGACCAGTATTCTAAAATACACTTTTTATTTCAAATAGTTTTAGATACACAGAAAAGACAGTACAGAGATGCCACGTCCAGCTTTCCATATCATAACATCTTATATACTTTTGCCACACTGAATGATTCAACATTGATACACTATTAAACTAAAGCCCATACTTTGTTTAGATTTCTTAAGTTTTTACCTAATTTCCGTTTCCTGTTTCAGGATCCGGTCTAGGACCCTGCGTGATGTTTAGTTGTTACATCTTCTTGATCTCCTCTCAGCTGTGCCAATCTCCAACACTTCTTAGTTGCAGATAACTTCCTCCCTCCCTGGTCACTCACACTCACACTCATGCCCATGGCTTTTGCCTCTAAAATCGGAGAATTGTGGAACCCAGATGTCCCGAGCTTATTCTTCCTCATCCTAGGCTACTCTCTTCCAGTGACATTATATCCCCGAGAAAGCCCCACAGGGGAGGCACCCCAATTCCTCCTGCTCCCCCTTTTAACTGGATCAGTTGGTCCCTCCTCTTCTTCTGCTGTGTCTCTCCTGTCAGTTCAATCTCCATGACCACCACCTTGGTCCTGGCCACTCATCACTGACCTTTTAAATGCCCTTCCTGTTTCTAGTCTTTTCTCCTTTGCATCATTCTCTGCCCAGACATCTGTTTTCCAAAGTCCTTTGGTGGCTCCTGGCTCTGGTGCCCATGGGATGACATCCTAGTTACACAGCCTGGCAGAAGATGCAGGGGACCTTGCTGCCTTCGCCTGTCCCTCACCC